AATCTGGAGAAGAAAAGAGAAGAGGAAATCTATCTAGGTAATGAAGGGGTTTTATAGAGGTTGTTGCCGACATGGTTGAGTAGCAGCATTTGCGATGTATCATTCATTGCTGCAGTGTTGAGCCGTCATATATGAGCCGTTATATATGAGTCGTCACAGGGCCTAGGCTCGGAAAGCTATTATCTAGCTATATGCCAGAAAGATTGGATAGAAAGAAAAAGAAAGAAGAACGCCTACTAAGATCAGAAGCTAGCATGAAAAGGTCTACATAAATGTATGCCCGACGCGTCGGGCACCCTGCAAAATTTTCAGGTGCTTGCAAGGACCTTTCAGTGTGTGATGGTTGATTGATTGGTTGGTGACCAGCACACTAGTTTCAAACTGTCCACCCCAAAATTTCTTCCTCCCCTTTATTTTTTTTTTTTTCTTTTTCACCTTTTCCTTCCTCTCCCTCCCTCAGCTAAATGTATGGAGCTGTTAACACAGCCCAGGGCTTTTTAGGTCAGCTCCTGCGAGGTAGTTTTGCCTATAGTTGCATCTGAAGCGGGTTGGAGCGGGTTGAGATCTCATGCAACCCATTTAACCCACACCACTGTGGATTCAGGTTGAATAAACAGAATCCGAATCCGCTCCAAAATCCACGCGGATTGGAGCAGGTTATGTTGGAGTTCCTGTTTGATATTGACTTGGTACCGTATCATTCTGTCACTCTGACCACACTACAGCGGCTCTACTACTGCCATATTAGAACTAGACCTGTATTGTCACGGAGTACGGGCATTCACCAACAACGCAAGATGTTTGTAAACTTTGGCCTGTTTGAATATAAGGCAGGAACCCCCTTCGCACACTAGATAGCGCAGCGCTGGCAGGCTCAGCTTCTTTCTTTCCTTCTCCATGTTAGTATTTCGATAGAGTCTACCAATAAATTTATATTGTTCGAGACTGTCACATGTATCATGTCTTATCGTGTATCTTAGGCTCCGGCCAGATAAGGAATCCCGCACCCAGACCCCACAATTAGGGCATGGAGCCACCGCTGATCAGGAGGAGGGGTTTCCTACCTGGTCGACAGACATCTTACCATGTACTGTAGGATAGTACAACTCCTTTACAGCTGTCACGGGCTCGGAATAGTAGATAATAACGAACTGAATTCCTATCTAGACTATTGTAGCCATCGACGAGAATATCAAATCTGGAGAAGAAAAGAGAAGAGGAAATCTATCTAGGTAATGAAGGGGTTTTATAGAGGTTGTTGGCGACATGGCTGAGTAGCAGCATTTGTGATGTATCATTCATTGCTGCAATGTTGAGCCGTCATATATGAACTGTCATATATGAGTCGTCACAGCGGATGTGCCGCAGCCTACCCTGCACCCTGACCCCCTCTGACGGTCACCCGCGGGTGAGGGTGAGGTTTAGTTATGAGGTCAAAACCAGATGAATGACCAAATATGCACCATTGTTATATCATACTAGCTGGTTAAGAAGAAACACAAGATTGTATTTTTAAATATTAGGTACAAGGATTTTCAAACGTGTGTGCACTCTCTGAAGTGTGTTCCGAAAATGATCATGTTGGCCTTCGAAGGGAATATCTTCAATATTAAATACTATGTAGGAAGTTTCATCTGCAACATACCAGTACAGATGTTCCAAGAAACTTTTTTCCATGAGAGTCCGGTATAGAGATTCCATGTAATGATCGACGGTTTCTAAGTTGAAATTCCGTCGATTTCGAAAAGCTTCAACTGCCAACCATCGGACATGCCAATCTTCATCCTCAAGTCGTCCTGCAATGGCGCTCACAATCTCTGGACTTAGATCCTGCTGATTTTGAAGTGCTTCAACTGCCGCCCATCGGACACACCAATCTTCATCCTCAAGCTGTCCTGCAATGGCGCTCATAATCTCTGAGCTAAGACCCTGCCGACTTTGAAGCATTTCCACTGCCGCCCGTCGGACATGTGAGACTTCATCTTTAAGCCGTCCTGCAATGGCGTTCACAGTCTCTGGGCTAGGATCCTTCTGATTCTGAAGTGCTTCAAGCGCCGCCCGTCGGACACCTGAATCTTCGTGTTCAAGCCGTCCTGCAATGGATCCCACAATCTCTGGGCTTAGATCCTGTCGATTTTGAAGTGCTCTTACCGCTGCCCATTGGACACGCTGATCATTATCCTTAAGCCGTCCTGCAATGGCGTTCACAATCGCTGGGCTTAGATCCTGTTGATTTTGAAGCGCTTCAATTGCCGCCCGTCGTATATGTGAGACTTCATGCTCAAGCCGTTCTGCAACGAAGTTTACAATCTCTGGGCTAAGGTCCTGTCGATTTTGAAGTGCTTCAACTGCTGTCCGTCGGACAAGCCAATCTTTATTTTCAAGTCTTCCTGCAATAGCTCTCACACTCTCTGAGCTTGGATCCTGTTGATTTTGAAGCGCTTCAGCTGCCACCGATTGGATACCCTGATTATTATCTTCATACCATCCCCCAATGGCGTTCATAATATTCAGGCTGAGATCATGTTGATTTTCAAGCGTTTTCACTGCTGCCCATTGGACACACTGGTTATTGTCCTCAAGTCGTCCTGCAATAGCGTTCACAATCTCTGGGCTTAGATCCTGTTGATTTTGAAGAGCTTCAACTGCTGCCCATTTAACATGCCAATCTTCATCTTCAAGTCGTCCTGCAATGGCGCTCACAATCTCTAGGCTTAGACCCTTCTGATTTTGAAGTGCTTCAACTGCCGCCCGTCGGATACCTGAGTCTTCATGCTCAAGCCGTTCTGCAATGGATTTCACAATATCAGGGCTTAGATCTTGTCGATTTTGAAGCGCTTTCACTGCCGCCCATTGGACACGCTGATCATTATCCTCAAGCCGTGCTGCCATATACTTTGCGAGTTTCAGGGTCCCATCTGACCAGGCTACTTGTGAGAGCCGCAGCATTCTCAAAATTGTAATTTCCAAATCTCGGGAAACACCATCGCTTAGCCAGGAAAGTGCCAGATTTATGATACTTGCCTGAAGAAATGGCCGTGACACCAGTGATTCCACGATTAATATCTTCACTTCGTCAGATGCTTGTGTTAAGGCTCTGATCAGGACCTGGTCTGGTAGCTCACTTTCGCCTGCTAACCGTGGTGGCTTTCTTGTAAATTTGCATTCAAACAAAAGCCACTGTGATAATTGATCTTCTAGCACTGATCGAAGCTGACATAATCTTGATTTGCCCTCCCGTGGCGCCAGCTCATTCAAGCAGTGCATGACCAGCCGTTGGTGAACAGGACCCAGGAGATCGCGCGGACTTTCCTCAATATTCTTGAGAAAGCGAAGACTTTCCGTCTCCCCTTCGGTGTCAAGCAGGCCAGAGACAAAGCGCCAGAAAATATCATAGTGTACATGGTACTTATACTTTTGAAGAAATTTGGCAGGTTGGATCTCTTTTATCCCTTTGCTGGGTTTAAGGTCAAGACAGTCAAGAAGTTGTCCGGCCGTCCACTGGCGAACAAAATATCGTGCCGCAAAATACTCTTGAAACGTCAGGTGTAAGAAATGATAGCTCCGATTACCATCATTATTAGAGATTTCCGATGGCCGTAGAAAAGAAAGGCGTGGAAGCGTTTTATCAAGGAGAATGTTCGTACCAGGAAACTTGAACTGCTTAGATATAGCCGTTCGGTGCTTCAAGTCAAAGTCGATAATGTTGTTGAATAGGCCTGTAAAGGCAAAACCTTCAAGAAGGTAGATCTCACTCTCAAAAATCTGGTCTATATCTGCACCCTCAATGTGGCATGGCGTCACCAGCTCCCCATCATGCCATTTCTCCAATCTCATGACATCCTTCTTCTGCCATAGTTTTCTTTCGATGGCTTGATAAACGGCAGTCATTGTTTGCGGTATAGACTTGCCACTGAGACCGTCCCAGGTGTAACAGAGCGCATCTAACTGGATCGGGATTCGTACAAGACCTTGTAGTAGCGGATGCGCTTTGAGGAACGACTGAACCTCACTGGCTTTGTCCGGATCACCTTTAAATGCGGCCCTTAGGAGATAATCATTCAACTGGTCATGGTAGAATCCGATCGTTTCCAATTCGAGGTCGAGAGATTTCAGGCCAGCCGGGAATCTTGCATGGGGCCGAGACGTAATGATGACATTGGGTTGATCTAAGAGCACCTTAAGGAAACGGAACATGTCGCCACTCCTGTCCAAATCTTGCGATACTTCGTCGAGACCATCAAGAAGAAACAGAGTTCTCATTTTAGTGTCCTTAACCGCACTCCACAATGCTTTGGCCAAGGCATCAGCTCTGGGGTGTTCAAAGAAGAACTCATTCCGGAATAGATGGTCCAAGTTGTAACCGGCAATCAGGCGTCTTTCTTTCAATTTCAAATTCCGCAACGGCACCCAAAGCAAGCGATCAAATAAGCCTGACCATAGTTTCCCATATGTAAAGTCATAGACGATCTTCTTGCACAGGGTGGTTTTACCTACTCCTGCCTGTCCTCGGATTAGGACTCGCCTTGGTTCTAATTTTTTGCCGTTATGTGCTTTACGGGGGCTGAAAAGCATAGGCAGCACGACCTTAACCTCTTTATCTGGTTCCTCGATCCTCAATCGAGCAAACAGTGAAAATTGGGACGACTTTTGCGTATCATTAGGGCCTTGTGAGCCACGTGCATTCCTCCCGGACTGCTCCACGATAGCCAGATTGATGTAGCATTGATCCATAGACAAGGGTTCGCCTGAGAGTCTCTCAATCCTGAGCCGATCTCCAGTGTACAGTCTCTTCCGGATCCAGGCATCCGCTTGCTGGAGTTGGGAAGTCTCATGAACATTCTCCAAAATTTCTTTGATTTTCCCAGCAACATATTCGTAAGCCGGATCTTCAGGGCCATAGAACTTATTCATCATTTTATGGGTTCTATCAAGGGGCAGTGGATCTTTAACAATGTCCAGAATCGCGGAAGACCGATCTACCAGCTGATGGGTGTTAGCAGTCCCACTCTTCCTATCTAATATAAAACAAATAAAATAAAAGCAGCGAGTGTTTTCTGAAACTTACCGGCTTTTCTTGGGCAAAAATGGCCGGTAGAAAGGAAATTAATCTGTGTCGGAGGCTCATCTTGCCAGTCTCGTAAAAATTAACAACCTGGTAAGGGTGATCCTTGTTTTGACAAAGTTGAGTAAAGTGGCGTACGAGTTCGTCAAGGTCAAAACTGTACTTCACTTCTTGAAGTAGCTGACTCACTCCTCGGCCTTGCATCAAAGCCCAGGCCTTCAGGCCAGGCTCTGCCCAGGCCGCTACATCTTGGAATGAAGTCCCCCGGAACGGTGTGGCGAGAAACACTATACCGCGTGTTGCTTTTCTGAGAGGGAGGTACTCGTCACTATCGTTCGCGTTTACAAGAGCCTTCATAAGAATAACACCCCCAATACATGACGCAATAAATATAATGGGCCGATCATTTCCTGTGAGGTCATTGGCTGCCAGCGGCCGTCTTTTGATACCAGCGAGCAAAAGCCGAGCAAACTCGTCAAACGTCTTCTGTCTCGAATGTGAACTTTCAAACAGGTCGGCCGGCCAGTTGCAATAGAAGATCCGAGCCCTTGCTGCCTTCTTCGGGAGCATGTCTGGTCTGGCCAGCCAGTTAACTTTATTGCTCCCGATACAATATTCCCACGTGTCTGGTGATTTGGTGTCGAGGCCATGTATAGCAATGATATCAATATCCGTGTCTTTATCATCCAAGGCGTTAACTTGATATAGATGGACACCTCGCTCGCATGTTGTGATCTGTGTTGATGAAGGCTTTCCAGCAAACCTATGGCGGCGAAGCCGAAATCGAATAATGATCACCCCCAGGGACAGGATAACCAAACTGAGAATGACCAAATCCATTTATGCGGAAACCCTGCAGCGTCCAGTACTCACAGCCGTGGTAATACTGAGGCTCAAAACTCGCTGTACGCAATCTGCCAGAGAATGGACGCTTGATCTTCAGAGATTGTACGGAATGCTCGTGCTCCTCTAACAACAGTGTAAGTAATTGAATGGTTGCTTAACGTTAATAACTTGTGTAGGTGTACCAAGATTGATGATGTGGAAGTTCGCTTGTTTATTCCGCTGTGGGCAAAGCTGCTTGGATCATGTGGGCGAACAATTGTTAGTTGTTCGCGAGCTGAGAATCTGTCAGAACCGAAAACATGACGAAGATATCTTTGACTGTGTGCGCCTGCAATACCCGCCAGGCTAATCCACTTTTGACACGCTTGTGGCTCTTGCCAGCGACTATTCCGTGATAGCTATTTCTATTGGTCGAAATACGTGCCCAATTTGCTGGTCAGGTGAGATCTCAGCGCTTAGCCAGCCCTTTTTCGAAACAGGTTTAACCCAGTCATAAAATTCTGCTGCCAGATCTGCTCTAGCCAAAGAGCAAGAATCCGCCAGAGTCCATACAAGCCGCACCCACGCAAGATGGAAAAGAATCCCAGTTTCATCCTTTCCAAACGATCAATGGGCAAAGAGGGCCATTCTGTGCGGATCGGACCGCGGCGGTGGGGAGAAATATGGGTACAGTAATAATGCCTCAAGATCAGGCTTACGGCAAACAATATTTCCCGTTAGCTACGATGTTCGGTGCCGCGTCTTACGCACTAGTCGGAGTAAATATCGGAAGAACTCTAATTGAGAAAACTATCGATCATAAGGCCTGTTCATAAGCAATCTGGCGGCCGTCAACTAGTTACAAGAGGAAGTCACTGCGAAAAAAAAAATCAAAATCAGTGCAAAGTGCATAATGCGAGTGTGCGCTGGTCCATAGTTAAAGGATGCTGATTGCATAGCCGTGATCTCTGATCCTATCATTATATAGTCGTCGCTGTTCATGCATATGCTCGGGCAGCCATGAGTCGTACGTCATAGCCAACGTGTGGCACTTGAGTGGTGGAGGCTTGATCTCTACTATCCCTTCTGAACAAGGATTGTGCAGTTGGGGTGTTTGTCTTCCAGCCTTTGGCAAAATGTAGGGGTTCTGTTTTAGTCATATCAAAAGTGAGCCCCTCGGTGACCCCATGCCAGCAGGTATGCTGTGATTTCTTGAAGCCTAATGGTGTTTTTCCAGGGATTTGCTGACAACCAAGGAGGTTAAACGACCACGTAATGTGTCCCATGGCTCCGGCAACAGCCATACTGTCATGGATACCCCCGATGGCAGGATGTTCAACTCCAGTGGTCGGTTTTCTCGGAGTAATGATACCAGCTACATACATCCTCCGTACACTCATTATATGGAGTATCGATTATGTAGCCATCTTAGAAACCTTAATTCCTTAGAAAAATCTACAGTAGATGTAGGGAATATCGGGTCGAAAATGAGTTTCAATTGAAGCTAGAGCCCCCAATGTAATACTTAGTGTCGCGGTGCCCAAGGGTCTCCATAAAAAGGACGTACTCGCACCGGTGTGGAGGAAAGAAAAGAAGAAAAAGCTCTTGGTAAGAATTGTCCCACCATCTTTACGCTCGCTTTCGAAATTGGAGCTGTAGCGGCGGCAGAGCCGTGGTAAATATATCCCGTGCGCTCTTCTCAAAAATTTCTCCCGTTTCTCCCGGCGCAAATGTTATATCGTACTGCTGTGCCAGAGTGGACATGGAAATGCGAAGACTCGTCATGGCCAGACTTTTACCCGGACAACTGTACGGACCTGCATAGCAGGATGGTCAGCATCTATGGCGATGAACTTTTGGACATGGGCGTGGCCTAAATAATACCGAACGCAAAAGGAAAGAATGGAGCTCCGTCTGCTCCCTTTCCTTCCCTCTTTTCAGTCCATCGCTCCGGGATGAACTGTTTGGCGTCTTCATAATATCTATTGTGGGTCTGGATCACTTGCGTGGGAACAAAAACATTGATATCGCCGGGAATGTAAATTTCGTCGACCTGTATTCCTTCAGCAGGCGTGACACGGTAACCTCCTGTCATGAGAGCAGGCCGCAGTCGAAGCGTCTCGTTGATAATATCATCAATGAACGTAATTTCCCTGACTCTCCCATACCTCCAGTCGCCCGGGCCGTCCGGCATCGCTTCATCCAAGTACTTCTGGAGTTTAGCCAGAACGGCAGGGTTCTTCGCGAGATAAAAGAGGATTGAAGCCAAGGTTGTCGCCGTCGTCTCGCTACCAGCAACAACGAGAACGCGCGAATCCTGGTGGAGCGCCTCTTCGGACGGAGGAGCAGAGATATCTTTTTCTTTGTAGGCTTTGAGCAACCACGATACGATGTCCTCTGGATATTCATTGGCATCCCAAATCTGAACAGATCAGCCATTCCATTCTTGATTGCTCTGTGTCCTGTGTACCTTTTTCTTCCGTTCGATTTCGTCCGCACACCATTTGAAAAAACCGGTATAGCCCGACGTGGCCCCTGGTAGTTGACCAAGGAGGTTTAACAACCACGGGATGTGGCCCATGACTCCGGCAACAGTCATACTGTCATGGATACCCCCGATGGCAGGATGTTCAACTCCAGTGGTCAGATTCCCGAAGTCCTTACCGAACCCGACTTCCCCCATGATATCGAAGCTCAAAAACATGGACCAAGCGGTCGCATCGAAATTCTGGTCCAAATGGGCCCCGATCTGCGCCGACAGCAAGTCGACTTTGGTCTTGATCCGCGACTCATAGGTTCCAAGTGCTGGATGTCGGAGCGATTCTCCGTTCAGTCACTGGCACTCCCACTCTGGAAGAGCACTTACCCTTCACGGATAACCCTCTATCCCATGCCTTCCGTCGCTTACGATGATCATCAATATCGCGGGTGTGATGAATGGAACATGACTTAGGATCCGTCGATACCTGAGCATACCATGTCGATTTGGTGCACTTGGATTGTGGACCGAAGATCAACGACACGGCAGATTTGCGCACTATAGAGACCTCTCGAGGACCTATATCACACAATATATGTGAGACATGTTCTACAATACAGAGCAGATAATATTCTTACCTGTTCGGACAAAGTCGCCGTATTGATCATGCAATTTTCCAATTTCGACATGGTATTGTACGTCTTTCGCCGCAAGGTAAGCGTCGTAAAACCGAGTGAGTTTCAATCCCAGAGGTCCGGGAAATTTTTTCAGGCGATGAAAGAACAACCTATACACACTGATACTGAGCAGCAGGCCCACATTGAACGAGAATGACAGGTACCCGACGCGCATAATAGTGTACCATAATGAGAACTGAGCTATTACCCAATAAGCGTAGGCCGTTACAAGCAAACTTAACACATGGAGTCCCAACAGGGTATACATGTAATCTTCGGCAGGAAAATTGGTACGAAAGATGCTCATATGCAGCAGGATCCCAAGACTTGCAGCTGCAGCTCCTTGGCCATCTAGACCGGACTCTAGAGTTGTTTGCAATTGCAAGGTGTTCATCGTATTCGACCGGTCACCAAAGTATGATACGTCGGATTAGGAAGTAAGCTCAAAGCCAAAATCGGGCACGGATCCCGGCCAGAAGCGAGGGGAAACTCGGATCATTTAAGCAAACATATCCCCGCTTAACTCGTATCAACAGCAGGATTGGCAAGTGTGCGCCGTGGCCAATCAGAGACCCGGCAGCCGGGCTCATGTCAGACATGCCTTCGAGTCAAGGAGGAAATTCCTTGCGTGATCTATCAATATCTGAAGCTGTATTTTATATGGATTGCCGTTCTTGTCATCTGTCATCTGTGCCCGAGGGTGTGGCGGATATTGGGTGGATGGCCAGTTAGGAATAGTTAAAATCCACTCTTTCTCGGGAATATGCGTTCGTTCCACATCGGACCGCAGATCCGGTGCATCTTGGCTTGGTGCACGGCCGGTATCTCCATTTTAGAATATTGATAGGTACTCCAGAGCATGCATCAGTCCAACAGCCTCTATGACCTATCTCAATAGTACTCGCTCTGTCTCTCATTATCATCAATAGTTTTGCCAGGGGTTTCCATGGCTCAGACCCGCGGATCCGTGTCCATGGATTCGACACGGAGTATTTTAAATTATCGCCATGGAACTTTTCCACGCGAGAGGTTGCTGCAGACAAGAAACCGTTGTTGGATTTGTCCCATGCTTCCTTCTTCCTCTTGACAAATTATGGCCATCGAGAACCTCCAGCCGTTGGCGTACGCCATTGCCACAATTGCTTTTGCCTTGGGCACCTGCTCGATCTTTCTCCGGTTGTACTGTCGATGGCGGCTCCAAACGTTCGGCTGGGATGATGGAATGGCAGTGCTTCTATTTGTAGGTATCTCACATATGCATTGGGATTATGCAAGCAGGCGTATGCTAACATGTTATTTGCGTCAGTTCGTCAATGGAGTGCAGCACGCTATTGTGTACATTTTCCTGTACAATGGGTCTGGTAGGTGAGTAGTACACACATTCTCTCCTTCTCTGCGGTTGTGAAATATTGACTGGGAATAGACACGTCGCTGAATTACCAGACGGTCAACTGCAAAAAGTGACGAAGGTACGAAACCAAGCCCCCAGCAACACAACAGCGGTCTAACAAGGAGTACAGTGGTTGTTCATCGAGGAGATTTACTGGATGTTCCTTCACTGGGTCATCAAACAAGCGTTCCTCCTGTTCTATCTCCGACTGTCGCCTCAGAGGGGCTTTCAGATTGCCGTCTATATCACAATGGGCATCAACACCTCCTTTACCATCATCAACTGCATGCTGGGATTCATGCAATGTAGACCGATGGACGCCATGATCCACCCAGAATTATATCCTAACGCTCAATGTCTCAGCCAGTACGTCGTCATGATGGTTCCAACTGCTCTGGTATGATTTTTCCTGAACAGGTCCTCAACATCTTGCTGATTGTGAGCGCTATTCTAGAATGCCTTTTCAGATATCATCATCCTTGTTCTTCCAATCCCGACTGTACTGAAGCTTCGAATGAGCTCCAGACGAAAGCTTGCTGTTCTCGGAGTCATTGGTTTTGGTTCCCTGTCCGTTATCACGGCGATGTGCCGCTTCGCTCTCCAGGTCCAGATGGTGGAAAACCCGGACACAACGTACGTCTTGGGCCGTATGCTTATAGCCGCTTCTATCGAGATCGAAGTTGCTGTCATCGCAGTCAACCTTCCGGCATTAAAGACTCTCTTCACCAAATTCGTTGGTGGCTCGACTGCCGACAATTCCGTGAGCGATGGCCACAAAATGTCCGACTACAAAGTCAGTGCCAATAAGTATTCCAAGGGCAGTACTACTCTATGTGCTTCGCAGAAGGAGTCAAAGGTGCGCAAGGATCTCGGTGCTACTTTGACCGGGTCTGAAGAAGACCTTCTCCGGATGGGAGGCGGGGGGGAAATCACGGTGACAACCAACATCGACGTTTGCGAAACACAAGTCAGTGACGGAGTGAGTGGATATCCAGACATCGGTTTCCCAAAGTCACAGAACTCGAGAAGTGATATTCATCCATCGCCTTGATGATTCGTTTGATGTAAAGTATCAGAGATGTTCTGACTTTATTTGTACAAAAGCCCGTGTAATATTCTATGGACTCGCATACGCGTCCATTCATTGTAAATATATATTTAATAAACACATTAACTTTCAAGTACATACTCCTTTACAAACAGATGAAACTGATTCTGCGCGTCCGCAATTTGTCTGGTGAACGAAGCTATGGTATATACAAGTATTCGTTGAATGGATATATAACCATGTCCCGTATAGCAATCCTACAGTCGCGACTGTGTTGACGTATCCTCATGCATTGCGCTGTCGTGTAGCCGCTCCCAGTGACTACCAACCTACCTCGCAATTAGCATCGTCCGGTTAACACAAGCGCTTGTAGATACGGGGACCTTACATCTTTGATGTGATCATAGCCCAATAATTTCGGTGCTAGTCCCGGATCTCGCCAGGCAAGGGCCTCACCTTCCGGCGTCGGGACCATCTGCATCTTTCGGTCCCTTTCCTCCTGCTCGGGTCCGTCGTGCAAATGATAGAGATGTTGCTGGACGTTTCCCCTTGCCACCACCATCTGCGTGCGTTGCTTACGGCATTCTTCAAAGACCGTCAAGGCGTGTCGTTGCTGCTCGAGAAAATCGGAGGACTTCTTGGATACACCGTGGTAGTTAGGAAGCCGGGAAAGGCATTCGCCTAGTACTGCACCGTCTTCAAATGCCATTCCCGCTCTGTAATATGTCAAACAAGGGCTTAAAATAAGCAAGGTGAGTGGCTTTACCCCGAGGCCAAATAAGGCAGTGTGGCGTGGACAGCGTCGCCCAGCATCACCCACGTTCCTGACGAATGTGTCCAATCGTACTCGCCGTATCGAATGCAGAGCCTCCATTTGTGGACAGATTCGCAGAGTCGGAGAAGTTTTTGAATGCTATATGTCACTGATTAGCTCGATATTCCAAGGGACCGCTTCTACATGGCGCACCGTGAGTCCCATCCTTCAAATGAAGAGCACATTTCTTTCACATTGCCTTCAACCGTTGAAGCCAACGACTCTTCTGGAATGTCGTCCGGGACTAAGAGGACCATATTGAACAGCTGCCCGTCACGAAGAACATAGTTTACTGGTGTTGTCAGCAAACATATGTAGTTACAGCAGGCACAACCACCTACCTGCATGGGCATCAGGTCCCAACCAGTAGTTAACTTGCGGATCCGTCACCAAAACCGCCAAATCTGGATCTTGAAGCATCTTTTCCGTTGAGAGAAGCAGACGATATGCCAAGTCACCGGTATTAGTCGGAGGATCCGGCCTTCCCAGGAGAACCTGTGTCAGCTTTCCAAACACTCCGTCAGCACCAATCACCAGGTCGCCCATCCATTTTTGGCCATCTACACAGACCGCGGTCGCCGTTGAGTTGTCCATATGAACTTGAACGTCTACAACCCGGGCATTGCATGTTATTTGCCCCCCCAGCTCCTGCACTCTCTCAACAAGGCACTGCTGGAGGTCCGCCCGATGAAAATCGCGATACCATGTCCCAGGGTACTGTTTTTCGGATTCGTGGAAGTCAAGTGACGATAACAGGTTTCCTTTCCAACCGAGAAAGTTGCAAACTCGCGGATATGTCATATGTGGCGTTAGGGACTCTTGCAGGCCCCAGTGCTGCAAGATTCGCGAGCTGTTGGGCAATACTTGTATGCCGGCACCTACTTCGCGGATCTCATGTGTGGCTTCGAGGATGTGAACATCATGACCGGCTAGCAGGCAACTGATCGCGGCTCCTAGACCAGCAAGTCCAGCTCCGACAATGACGATCTATCACTGTATCAGCGTGGTCCAACCTATACCAGGAGCGGACGAACCTGCAATCGACATTCCTCTTCTCGGAACTCCTTTTGTTTGATCGGAATTGGCGATGACATGTTGGTAAAAGCACTTTCTCAATAGATGTTCTTGTCGCATAGCATCCTGCGAAGCGTGGGTTCACTCAAGGGATGTGAATTGTATTAATCCGTGACGACGCACTTGGAAAACCCCACGGAATGCAACAGGGGTATCCCAGACATGCATGGCCGCATAGGATGATAAGATCAAAAGTGTACATCCAAGAGTTTACATCCAAGAGTGGGGTGTTTCCCGATAACATTGATTGCTATCGTACTTCAGAACAATTATTATGAAGTTAGGGACAATCCTAATGCCACTCGATCTGTGTAACTGTCCGACCTCGCTGGAACGAATCTAGTACATACAGTTCGCAATGTCAAGAGTAAGACAACCCAGGTATCACGACCCGACTACGCTCACCTAATCCCTAGTTTTCGTTGAAAGGTCGAACTGCTTTAGTTACCGGAGGCGCTCGGGGATGTGGCCTTGCATTTGCGCAGAGCTGTGCTGAATCTGGAGCCGATGTGGCCATTTTTGATGTTATTCAACCAGACGATACATTCCGAGCCTTGCGTGAACTATACGGTGTCCGGGTAGAATACTACGAGTCTGTAATTCTCATACTCGGTCTGGTTTCTGTTACTGATGGATAATAGAGTTGACGTATCTTCTGAACAATCTCTCCAAAATGGCTTCAATCAGTTCAAATCTGACTTTTCGAATGCGCTCGACATCTGTATACCATGCGCCGGAATCAATCGTCATCTCCCCTTCCTCGAATTCTCATACCAAGACCACCGCGATCTACTGTCCGTCAATGTGCTAGGGTCGTACTTTACGGCACAACTAGCAGCCCGTCAAATGATTGCAAATGGTACACGACATGGGAGCATCATTATGGTGGCCAGCATCGCCGGTGAGCGAGCCATTAGAAGCCAGCTCTGTAGTGCGTACTGTGGCTCCAAAGGCGCCGTGAAAGCCATGTGTCCAGCCATTGCGCAGGAATTGGCGCCTCATGTGAGTTTTGTCCTGCCGCTATATTGCATAACGACTGACGAGCAGGGAATCCGTATCAATTCGATCTCACCGGGCTACGTGCAAACGGAAATGACCGCCGGCGTGAGTACCCTCCGTGATGTAAGAGACAACCCTGACAGCTCCCAGTTCCCTCAATTGCTTGAAAGTTGGAAGAGTGAGATCATGCTGGGTCGAGTTGCCCAACCAGACGATCTCCGGGGCGCGTGCATGTTTCTGGCGAGCGATGCCAGTGCATATATGACAGGGCAGGATATCGTCGTCGACGGAGGAGTGACTCGTTGGTAGTGACTGAGTACAGTCCAAAGATGGAAAGCAGAATCTCCAAGATCGATAGGCATTTGGTTCAAAAGTGGGGGTCGGCAATTGCACCGATGTCAGTAATCAATAGCAGAGTTACTCAAATAGAAAGCATCTCTCTTTCCGCTATGCTCAAACACAAAGGAACTATTTACGATAATGGCTCCAAGTGCAGATTATGAAGGCTTCAGTGACAATGTCGCCGACAACGCGGCCAGTGTTGTCGTTGTGGGCGCTGGTCCGTCCGGGCTGATGTTGGCGTAAGTCGTTCTACCTGTGCTACCAGTTAGCTCTACTGATCGAACAAGGTGCAATCTCGCGAGGTTCGGCATCAGAACAACCATCCTCGATGAACAGGCCCATAGGACATCGACTGGTAGGGCCGATGGAATTCAGCCCAAGACTATCGAGACTCTCAAACAGTTGCGACTCGCCGATCCCCTTTTGCGTGAGGGTGCGCGCGTATACGATATTTGCTTTTGGGTAAGCCAGTAGAGCAGAGCCTGTGTACCGCAATCCAATGTGACCTGACTAGGCGCTTGAATAGGAATCCACAGATGATGCCTCCCTCCATCGGACCGGTCGCAAAGTACACTATCCGGATGGTCTTGTCGGAGCTACGGATCCCTATATCTTGCTGGCTCATCAGGGGATGCTCGAGGATGTTTTTATCCAGGATATGGCCTCTCGTGGGCTGGTTGTTACTCGAAACAGTCGATTCTTGTCCTCTAGTCGCGTCCCTTCTAACAATCGGTTGTGCGTGAGCTATCAAGATCTTGCGTCCGGCACTACCAAAGATATCCAAGCCGATTACCTCGTTGGCTGCGATGGCGCTCGGTCACAAGTGCGGCAATCAATTCCAGATGCGCGGCTTGAAGGAGCGAGTACAAACGAATCCTGGGGTGTCCTGGATGGTATGGCTCAATCAAATCGGACAGCAAAAGAGACCATACTGACTATATGTAGGCGTGATAGAAACGGATTTCCCTGACCTCTGGAGCAAAGTTGCTGTGCGATCTCATGCAGCCGGTTCGATTCTATGGATTCCTCGCGAGCGCAACATGACCCGGTTGTACGTCCAGCTCAGTTCGGTTGACGGTGACGCCGTTGATAAAACAATGGTGACGGCAGAGTATGTCATGGAGCGCGCAAGGGCCGCCATGAATCCATATCGGTTGGAATGGTCCAGCATTGGTATGTTGCCATCAGGATTCTCGAACTACGGTATATCTAACCGGAGTACCAGAATGGTTCGGCAACTATGTAGTTGGACAGCGAGTCGCCAATCATTTCACGGATTCCCAACTACAGACATTTATCGCTGGTGATGTATGCTTCCCACTGCTGGTCGATGTCTTCGTCATACTCACCTTCGCAGGCAGGACATTGTCACTCGGCTCTGGCAGCGCAAGGCGCCAACACCAGCATGCATGATACGTTCAACCTCGCGTGGAAATTGAATCTCGTAATTCGTGGCCTGGCAAAGCCATCACTGTTGTCGACGTATGAGGGGGAGAGGCAGAAGATTGCAAATGACCTTATCGCTTTTGATGTCGGACACTGCGAGGCCTTTTCCCAGGGCGATGAGGCATTGGCCCGGAACTTTGACGAGAACATCCGCTTCATCTCCGGCATAGGCGCGGAATATGCAGCCGGTATCCTTACGAAAGTGGACGACGACGAAATGAATGTGCATCAAGGTCTCCGTCCGGGAGCCTTGTTATTGCCATCTCGAGCGACGCGATATATCGACGCCAACCCGGTCGATATCCAACTGGACATTCCTTTTTTGAGTCAGTTCAGGATATACTTGGTTGTTCCTAATATAACGAAAGCCAAGTCGTTTTTATCCGCACTTTGTACTGGCTTGGACGCGTTTCTGCGCCGTATATCACCAATTGCCGACAGGTCTTACTCGGACATGCCCCGAAGCCTCGCTCAGTCTGATACGTTCCTATCGCCCCAGCGATATACTGCCGTCTCGCATCTTGCTACTTTAGCCCTTGTAACCGCGACGCAGAAGTCTACCTTTGAGATTCATGATCTACCAATTCCGCTCCAATATAGCCGTTGGACGATATATCTCGATGACGTTGATTCTCCCAAGTGTATTAACAAGTGGGCCGGTTCGCTCACAGATACTGAAGCGGCCGTTGTGAATGTGAGACCGGACGGATATGTTGGATCAGTTGGACGGTGGACTGGTGTTGATGATGCAGCGGTTGGTAAAAGAGCGACAGGGTGGGTTGAAGATTACTACCGCGAAATCTTGATTTAGACCGATTTGAACACGAATATTAGTCCATATTATGGTATTTCGTCGTCACCGCAAGTTATTCATAAGCCAATGTTGAACATCCGTATCGTTGTTCCATGTATGTTAATCAGAGCAAGACACCAGCAGAGCGCAATTATGTCGCTTGTACATCCGAAATTGAAGTAACTAACCAAGATCATTCCTGTCATGTCTGCAATAGTATATACTTGGACTATTTATGCCACTGTGACAAAAAATGGCTTCTCCCCTTCCTTGGCTTCAACCGTGCCCATCTTCAAAAGTTCATCTCCGACTGCTAACCGGAGCTTTTCAACCGTAGCCGGACTGTCCAAAACTAAAGGCTCCTCAACTCCATTGTCTTGACGGGCACTTCGCAATGCCTCCCTCAGAGCAAACAATACCGTCGAGCCCAAAAACAAAGGCGGTTCACCACACCCTTTGCTGCTTTGTATCGACCGCAGGTGTTTCCAAGATACGCCTTGGAGGAAGCTGACGTTGAATTGCTGCGGGATATCGCTGAATCCAGGGATTTTGTAGTTTCCGGGCCCGCGTGTCGCCAATTGTCCAGTCTGCGTCCAGAGGCTCTCTTCCATTGTGAAAAGACCTTGTCCCTGAACGAAAGCCCCTTCGACTTGGCCGTAGTCAATTGCGGGATTGATGGAGCGTCCGACATCCATTTTGATATCCGTCCGCAGCACAGTATGGTCTCCAGTGAGGAGATCCAGCTCGACTTCAGTGCAAGCAACGCCCTGGTAAATTAGTTCCGTAATCCATAACTAAAGGAACGGTGAGACGACTCACTTGCGTAAAGTAATAATACATTGGATTCACTTTCTCCGGGTCGTAGACTCCCCATTCGTAGCCGATCTTCGGCATCTTCCAGAAACCACTCGCCATGAGGTTCACACGATCCAGATAAGCGGCATGTGCAATCGTCGCCATCGAGGCATCTGGTCCGAATCGTTCACGATATGGCTGGAGACGCTCGTTCAGTTGATCGCAAGCGTGTTTGACCGCCATTCCATTTAGATCACTGCCGGAGGAGGCCGCCGTTGGCGACGCATTGGCTGTCTGGTAAGAAGAGGTATCTTGCGTATAGACGGAGTCAACGGAAACACCGAGCTCCTGGGCCGCAACCTGGACCATCTTGGTGTACAGGCCCTGCCCCATTTCAGTTCCCCCGTGGTTAAGCAGGATCGACCCGTCCGCGTAGATTTTGACAGAAGCACCAGCTTGGTTGAGGTGAAGTGCTGTGGCGAACGACAAACCAAATTTTGTCGGGACGAGGCATATTCCACGCTTCTTCCAACAATGCTCTGCATTGAACGTTGCAATTTGCTGCTTTCGCTCTTCGTAACGCGCCTCCTGTCGCACTTGTTCAAGAAGCAACGGAACATGCCAGTCCTCGTCGATAGTCTGCAGAAAGGGGGTCTGATCGCCTTGGCGATAAAGGTTTCTCAGTCGCAGTTCATCCACGGACATTCCCAGTCCCTCCGCCACAGCAGATATGTAGCTTTCAGCGATGAACATGCCCTGCGGACCTCCAAAGCCTCGAAAAGCCGTATTGCTGTGCGTATTCGTGCGACACACCCAACCCCGGATATGGACGTTGGGGATCTCATAGCAATTGTCAAGGTGAGTACAGCACCGGTCCATCACAGCACTACTCATGTCCAGTGAGTACCCGGCATTGTTGTAACAGTCGGCGTCAAGGGCAACCAATCGACCATCATTCATGACTCCAACCTTCCATCGACACTGAACTGGATGGCGTTGACCGGTTGTCATCATGTCCTCGTCACGATTGAGCATTAATCGCATCGGTCGTCGCTCTTTCTTCGCCGCGATGGCTAGTAAACATGCCACTTGAACACTGCGAGACTCCTTACCGCCGAAGCCACCTCCCATACGCTTGACTCGGGCATTGATACGATTGCTAGGCACGCCGGTAACTTGACTAACGAACTCTTGTGTCTCCATTCTGAGAAAAAAGGGGTCAGCTTGTCAGGCTTAATAGGGAACATAGTCGTTCTGTAACTCACGTATTCTGGGTCGACGACCAGACTTCCATTGTATCGTCCTCAGTGTGCGGAATGACCATTGCTGCATTTGTTTCGAGATAAAAATGCTCTTGGCCCCCTACACGCGTCACACCGGTGAAGACCCTATCGCAACGAGCAATTACGTCGGCCATTTCGTCTGGGAGTGCACCTTTCCTCAACTCCTTGCCATGTTGAAAAAAGCTTCTTGCCTCAATAGCTTGATCGATGGTCAAGATCGCTGGCAAATCTTCGTATTCAACACGGACCGCCCTGGCTGCTGCTTGTGCTTCTAATTCAGTCTCTGCGTACACCATTCCGATAGGCTGGCCGTGAGAATGCACTTCGTCCGTGGCGAAAAAGGGCTCATCGCGGTTTACCGACCCCCACAGATTTCGGTCAATTGGAATGCTGTGCCGGTCGATGTAGCCCACTGCGAGCCCGGGACCAATAGCGAGTGTCCAGTCGACTGAGACTATTTTGGCATGCGCTCGCTTAGACAGTACTAGAGCTCCACAGAGTTCTCGTGCTTGGGGCGGTATGTCGTCAACATACTCAGCTTGACCTGTAGCGTGCTTCAATCCCGACAGATGAGGTATCTGTTTCCCAACAACTCGCTGCTCGTGGGGATTATGATCATCCCGAGAACCTGTGGATATTTCCCGGTGAATTTCGTCAACGCAGTCTAACTCCACAACCGAAGCACCTAGATCAAGGTCCCTCGCAGCCTCGTTCCAGAAACGGAAGAAAAGCGATAGGGCAAGCGTGCGACGGTAGGTCGCCATTCCTCCAGGTACACCATAAGGAAGACCAAAGTCTCTCGTCAGCGCCCGCAACGCATCATATAAAGTCTCCTTATCATTCCATTTTCTCCCGCAAATACTAGCCCCGGTCTGGTGAGCTATGACTGTCGTAGGCGCCATGCCTCCATAAGCGAGGGAAGCATGGGTGATCACTCCATCTCCGTCGAATGTCACGAAAAATGCTGCCGTCACGATGGCAATGTCATCGTCTTTTCGCTTCGCCTGCTTGTATGATTTGGTTATTTGCAATACATTTGGCGACGGAACAGGAATGCGAATCTTGGTGATGACTGCTCCTTCAGGGAGAGCAGTCTTCCGATATCCCAAAAACATGGAATTCATGGGGATAGATCTCTCCCCTTCAGGACTAAGTGTTACGACGGTGGCATTTACGGCCAGCAAAAGTGGGTTCATATCAGAAATCGGAGACGCGGTAGCAATGTTTCCAGCTAGAGATGCTGCATTGCGAATCTGTCGTCCAGCAAAATACCGCAATACTTTGGCCATGGCAGCAAGGGTCGCTCCACGCTTTCCCAGCTGAACACCTAACTGGCGACATGTTTCTTCGACATCGCTGAGAGATGCATTTCCGCCAACGACGAGCTCCGAGAGTTTTGTTGGGTCTTCTGGCACAAAAATAGTCGCTAGTTCGTCGATGTCGCCCACAAAGACAGATACTGGAAAGTGTGAGTCCTTGAAGCGAACGTCGACTTGCATCTCACTGGCACCACAGACCAGTTTGGCCATAGGGAAGACAGCCAATATGTCGACCAGTTGCGTCAAAGTCACCGGTCGAAGCCATACTCGCTCCACATCGCCGTAACAGATGGGGAGATTGACGTGTCTATGAAGGCTAGGTGGAAATATAATCTCGGAAGCTGGTGAGTACGGTATGAGATCGAACTGGGGTATTGTAAACTTGGAACTAGATTTGGTGCTGGAAAAACTCGTTCGAGAGCTGCCCTCGCTCGCGGGTGACGAGGGGGGTGAACAGGTCGTACTCGGTCCGTCACGACAGCATCCCCCGGGACGGCCACATGAGCTTGTTGTGCTTGATGATTGGGAATGAGGGCTATATTCTTCCACTTTCCCTGTGTGATCCTCAGAACTTTCTGAAAGGGTTGTCTTTGAATCCGCCAGCTGGCCCTTGAGATCTTCCTGGACGAATGTCTTTGCAACCTGCAAAATTGGTTTGTATCCAGTACAGCGGCACAGATTTCCATCCAGGTGTCCCTTCATCTCGATTTCCTCTTCCGAAAGGTCAAATGAGCCAGTGGTTGGGTCATAGGCATTTCGAATGACGGCGTATAAGGACATGACAATTCCAGGGGTGCAGAATCCGCATCTGATGGGATCAGTATAAGTTCCGATAGGATAATCGGCATACTCACTGAGAACCATGCAGTTTTCCCATTCGCTCCTGCAATGGATGCGGATTCTCAACCGACCCTAATCCTTCGATCGTGATGACATGCTTCCCGATTACTATTACATGCGTTAATGTTGCGTTGCTTTAGTGAATTCCAAAAATCGTAATACTAACCACCAACCAACGGATAAAGGCATGCATTGATTGCCAGATGTCGGATCTTGCGAGAATTACGGCGAGTGTCCCTAGTTTGCAGCACCACGGTACAGGCACCACAACCCCCTTCGCCACACCCCAATTTCGTTCCTTTTAGACAGTCCTGGGATCGAATAAAGTCTAGCAGCGTCCATTGGGGGTTTGGGTTGGTCAAGGCGATCTTCGCTCCGTTGAGGTAAAAAGAAAGAGTCGACGACGTGTAAGTCAAGTTGACGAGCTCCTGCAAAGCTTCGTCGGGGTGTAGGAATGTTTGGCGAGGAATAACGACCATATCTGGAATTGGTGCACTGTATTGTGAGGATTCAGCACACACTGTTCTCAATCAACTTTGAGAAAGGTTCTTCGACCGCTCAATCTTGTCCGCCGGGGCCCTTTTCATTCATACATCCCCGCAAGTGGCGAGTCCAGCTGTATAATCCCCGGGCAATTTATCATCAAGTGCTATCATCATTATCGGGATTGGCGGAAATTGGCGTCTCACTTCCTTCGAAGGTGGGTGTCCAAAAGTGGGGGATTCGATACAATCAACCGATTTGCGGCGTCAATCGTTGCTTGGTCGAGGAATTATTCTTACGACTACTCCGTTCTCATCAAAGAGAAAGCATTAGCAACACATTCAGATCTCACTATCGTGTCCGGCCTCGACGTACCGGCCTCATCTTTAAGTAAACCATGCACCTCAACGTTGTCTTGCAGCGCGGTGATGGTGATGACAGCCATCCTTGTCATACCGCTAGTAATACTTGGCGCATAAGACGGATTTCCGGGAATATGCCACCCTGTGAGTCAAGTTCATCACGAAGACAAGGTCGCATCTGCTGTTCACGGTTGGCCCCAGTCACTTAACTGCTACCATGTCTTGTAGTTAGCACTTTTCCATGGATAGTGATGGTTGAGTTACTTGCCAGATCTGACCTAATTTGTGAAGTTAGTTGCGTGTGGGGAGTAGAATAGGTTGAGCAGAATAGAGCGAGTAGAATAGAATAGGGTAGAAGAGTGCTGAGACGAAGTTAATGGCAGGATGCGTGATGCGCCTCAGCCACCACGCGATAGAAGGACGAAAAACAAAGATATATACATTGATGGATTGATGGACTGATAGACATATAGACAGATAGATAGATATGCAGGGAGTCAAAGAGAGTAGAGCAATCATTTAATTGAAATCAATTCAATTGAAACTAACTAGGAAGTAACCGGTGTACAATTGTAAATGTAGGGTTTTTTTGTCTCGATATATATCCTCCGCTGAGTTCTTTCCTTCACTCCTGCACAATCACAAACCGACCAGACGAAGCAACACCTTCATCGCATCGTGAACTACGGTCCAACGTACCGTTGCCAGTTTCTGCGCCATCACCTTCATCAACCCTTTCGTAGAATATTTACCGGCCAATGATGCCAACTCGTCCGGACTGGAACACGTCGTCATGGCGATTATCAGCGACGACATCTCCGTTTTGGCCTGTTCATCACCTTGTGGAATTGGATTCGCTACGTTATGGCCTTCCTCTGGCAGATGGAACGCCCAGCAGGTCAGCGTCGCGAGATACAGACACCAAGGGAAATGGAACGCGTCCGCATCATCCCAGTCGTCCAGGCTCATCACGGCGTCCTGCAGGATAAAAGATGCGTGTTTTGCGGCCTTCAGTGCCATCCCAGATTCATTCTGGAGCCATTGGGGAATATTACTTCGGGACCGCTCGATGTCGTTTTGTGTCACTGTACGCCCGAGAATATGCGGTGCTCCGGCGCAGATTTGTAGGTCCAAGATTTCTACATTCAATGTGATATGGGCTGACCGATACAGCGCATTGGCCGCCATCTTGATACCAGTGAACCGGCGAGAGTTTGCGGCCTGACCCAGTTTCATTGCCATGCAGTCCGCATCGAAGTCGATCTTCCATAAGTCATACGATCGCCCAATCCGGTGTTTCCACACGCCAGCTAGCCTGGGAGTCTCCGATCTTATCGTTGTTTGGTCTCTTCGTCTAAGGTCTGAGGAAAGGGACATCAGACCGTGCAGGAGGAAGACACGCGCAAGCGGGTTGAGATGCCGAGGACGGTGCACGGCGTGAGGTGCGATATATCCTTTGAGTGCCGATAGAAAAGGGTGGTCGGGCTCTTTTACTGCGCACTGAAGCCACTGTTCCGATGTTGATGCTTCCCAGGTACTGGCGTCGCAGGGCAAGGGGAACCGCATCTCGAAAGCGGACATACAAAGAGACTGCGAGAAGAGCACAGCGTGTTGAGTATCCCACATGAAACAGTGCATTGCCAGCCGCTTCCGCTGCTCCAAGTCCATTGCTTCCACCCAGGCGTGTTCTAAGTCTTTGGGTCTACTGCGGATGGTGGGTGTTTGGATGACACAGCAGTTGCTGCGACGGATCATTTTGATGAGTACGCAGTGAAACAACTGAGCTCGATCTCTTTGTTTTGGACCTGCGCGCATCTTCCCAAAGCAGTCAATCAGGAGCATTGCCTGCAAAACCCACAGATCCGGCTGAGGAGAAAAATCTGGGTGACAAAAAAGCTGGTTTTGCAAAGAGTCATGAATTCCGACCGCAATCTGATGTGCCTCCCGACTGCTATATGTTGCTCCCAGACAAAGAACAGCGGCCAGAAACACCGGTTCTGCATGACTAGGATTGAATGTTCCTTGGTGGATTAATGGGTACGCTACGTTGAATCGTGAGAAGAAAAAGTCACAATATCCCTGGAGGGCTTCCAGCGATAACAAGGGCGAGGCGTTGTTAACGTCCTTTGCGTTGGAAATCAGAGCCAGGATACTGCCTCGCGCTTCTTCTGATATTTGAGGCAGCTGCGGTCGAGACAGTATATTCAACTGTGGACGCCCTGTCATCCATTCCATATCCGGATACTCTGAGGCAATCTGATCGGCTTGCTGATGTGCAGTGCTGGATGATGTGCTAGCGTCTGGATACAGGCCTTTATCGATGAACGTTGCTGCTTCGAGGAGTATCGACGAAGGATCCAGATTGAAGTCCAATTCAGAATTACAAAGCTCCGCGAGCTCCCCAGAATCTATATCTCGGGTTGCACCTCTCTCTTCCCCCGGCAGGGATGCGATTGAGTCTTGGTTGGAAGAGACTGGTTCCAATGGCCAATCCAGATCAACAAAGGCGTCGTCCAGGCAGGAGACATCGAAGAGCCAGTTGTAGTTGTGGGTGACTGCAAAAGGCATATTAAAATCCATTGCTAGGAAAACGCCCGGTTAGTGTTGCCGCCCTCTTCTACACCGAACTGATGTACATACCAGTGTCTGCGGTAAACATGTCGCCAAAAGGAGAAGTTCCCCACGATCCATCCGCTGCGTCGAATTGTCCCGGAATCGGTTCGACGTATGGCTCGTAAGGACCCCCGGGCATCATAGGGGCCAATAGTGTATCCTCGTCACTGATCCCAATATCACTGTGTTGGTCGCGACTCTCGAGATGGGCAGATGATGGAGGAGAAACAGGGGCCCCGTGGGGATAATCGCGGGATTCGATGAGCCCGGAATTTCCTTCACTCGCGCTTTCGAAGGACGTTTGTGATACGGAGCGATCGTGCCTATTTGACATCGCCTTCCTAGCTTGTCGTTTAGCCGGCTTGGTCACGATCGTTCCGTTCGGGGCACGTCGAGTCCTTTTTCGGGTTTCCAATATTCCCAGGCCAGGGCCACCGGCTTCTTCGTCTCGTTTTGCATGCCGCATTTTGTGTCTTGCTACTTTTGTGTCAGCCCTTGCCGAGGTTGCTTCTGGGAAGCACTGACCGAGTAAATCAGGCCTGTTGAAGTGAACAAAGCATCGCTCACAGGTGTATCCGCTCCGTGGTTCTCTATGGTTCAAAGAATGCCTCCGCAGATGCTCAGCACGAGTAAAGGCCTTGCCACAATTAGGCCAGTCACAGATGTGTGATTTCACGACCATGGGGACAAGTTCAGGGCGACAGACACGGTCGTTTTCGCGGATGGGATACCCCCAGTTTCTTCAATCCAGAGAGCAATCGGCAATTTCCGTTTTTGAAAGATTACGCTCTCGAAATATCAATGATTGATTAGCGATCAGACTGATAAGACGGCCTCCAACTCCGCATTTTACAAGGATCTTATCAGGTGTACAAGGTACGATTTGCATACATGGATAGACAAGACGGAATGAACCCCGATAGGCCATGCACCATATAATCTGTTACAGCTTACTGCACAGTACTTGCCCCGGGCTACAGGAAATACCTCCATTCTGGACTGTTTTCGCCAAGCATCAATTGGCTCGTTTCAACCTCATGCGCTCGAAGTAGCACACCTTGCTCTCGATCTCGCCTCTTATTCTCGGACCTCATCCATAATCCCATCCACAATACGCCAACTATACACAATACGTTGCAGCAGCAAGTAGCTACCAAAGTCGGGATGTACCTGGCATTTCCATGTTAGAAAACGCATCACTGTTTCAAGACGGGCGACGATACTCACCTTGGAGCGTATTCCGTGCGAAAAGTGGCAGCGCTCAAGATGCCAGCCAAATTTCCAAGACCGACGAATAGTCCAGTGTTTGCCGCCCGCGAGTTCTCGTGAATGTTGTTATTATTATGCCATGCGTGGACAAGACAGGATGGGATGTACGACCCAGCCGCCATGAGAAAGCACGCAAAATATGCAACGCTTTTATGTTGGGTAACATTCAAGGTCGCGAGAACTAACATCCCGATCAACGACAATACCAGGGAGAAGACGATGTGAAACGTCCTTTCGCGAAAATAATCCGACGATATCGCCACGCAGAGCAAGACCACTGCGCCGACCAAGTTTGGAGCGATCGTCCAGAGATTTGTTTTGACGACCGAATAGCCCAGCCGCCCAACAATCTGCCAGCAAGTGTTAGCCGATTCAGGCGGTTGGCGAGGGTTTGACTCACCAACGGGAAGAAGTTCATCGCTGTTGCGTATGCCACTGGATACGTGAGTGTTATGATACACCAAACTGGGAACTTCCAATCTCTCCATGTTTGAAAACACTCCTTCAGATCCAGCGAGGTCTCGATGTCGACTGAATTGTCACGTAGTAATCGAGCATTCGCTGCTGCTCTCTCCCTTTCGTTCAGAAACCAGGCATTCTGGGGGCCCGCCGGAAGCCAGAAGAACCCGATAATCCCTGTCAGGAATGTCATGGATCCTTCAATAATGAATAGCCACTGCCATCCCTGCACAGTGGGATGGTCGATCTGGAAAACACCGTAGGAAATAAGTCCGCTGGATGCTGACGCTAGGACGGCGAAGAGTTGTAAAATTGACAGGCGTAGACCCATTTCACCTCGCGTGTAGAAGAGCGTGAAATAGAACGTAGCACCTGCAAAGAAACCGGCTTCGAATACCCTATATATCGGGACCGGTTAACATACAGTGCCAGTATCACGGAGAAACGGCTTACCCCAGGATAATCCGAATCGCCAACAGACTGCCAAAGCTGGTAGCAGCGCACTCACAGAGTGAAAGCATCCCCCAAACAACGGTCACTACCTGTCGTCAGCACCTTTCCTTTTATCGTGGAAATGGCCATACTGAATGAGAGCATGATCCTTCCGGAGAAGCGTTTGATCAAGAGATTCCACGGCAAATCACACAACCCGAAAGGAATGTAGAAGAGGACTATCATAAGTGAATAGCCATTTGCCGGAAAATTGAGGTCACCTTCCAGCCCATCGGTTTTGGCGTTGGCCAGGTTGCTCTGGCTGTATCAGCATGCTTCCGCAAGAGCATTCCGAGAGGCGATGGACATACACGATCCATGCAATCGAAAAAATACATCTGATGACGATTTTTAGCATGAATGTAAGCAACAAGTCTTGAATGATATGATTACAGTGCATAAAAGGGGCAATAGGAGCCAGTCTACTTTTCGTACTAGCGGATCGTGAGCATGTCTCGGGTCAGTTGGATGAATCAGGAGCACGACTGACCATACGAATTCTCCGCATCACGATCAATACAGACGGTCCTCTCTACATCGTCTTCCTCCGGCTTTGAGAGGTGATCTGGGACTATGACCTTTGGATTCTGCATACTGTTGCTGTCGCGCTATTTCCGCACACCAGCGGAGTTTGGGGATAATCGGATAATCCATTGTTATGAAGGGCCGTAGCTCTGGATATCTGTACAGGGCACTCTTCAGAGCCAAGCCCCGACTCCAAGCGGCTTATCGACATCCTTGATATCATATCGTACCCCATCTTCGAGAAAGTGATGTGAACCCCACCTTTGGTCTCGGACAGGGTTCTAGAACAGAACCGAGGATGATATCGAGGGAAGATGTGAGCATCGGTATTCTGTGCGAGACAGCCACGATAGTATCAAACGTGCAAGTCTGAGCTAGCTAGACAAGCAGATATAATACTCCATGCTGAAAGAGTAAGCGGCCGTATCAATTCACGCCATACTCTGCCCGTGAGACCACAACCACTATTACCCATCGACAGCGATAACAGAATGCCTGCAAGAGCTAGCCCACCAGTTCTAGACTTCTCGCGTGAGTAAGCTCAGTATCGAGTGATGAGCAGAGCTGATCAGGATAGCGTTCTACGGCGAGGACAGCGCCGCCAAAGCCAAGCTTGTGGAGAGCATCAAAGAATGCTGTTTGTACAATGGGTTTTTCCAAATCATCGGCCATCGGGTGCCGATCGATTTGCAGAAGGCGGTTATGCGATGCACGCAGCGGTTTTTCGAACTGCCTCTCGAACAGAAGCTGGAGATTGACAAAAGTACGGCATCCTCGAGATCGTCCGCGCATAAGCTGTACTAACTTTAGCAGATAACAACACCTTCAACAGAGGCTACGAATTATTGCGGTCGCAGATGCTGGAAGCCGGGACCAGCCCAGAGCTCAAGGAAGGGCTGTATATCGGCGAGGAGATACCGGAAGACCATCCTTACTTTATCCAAGGCAAGTTGAACAGCGGTCCGAATCAATGGCCGCAGACAGTCGAGAATCCCGAAGAGTTTCAGCGCACCTCGATGGAGTACTACCGCGCCGTATTTGACTTGGCCAAAGATGTGCTGGGCGTGCTGGCGCTGACCCTGGGAGTCGACGCGACGTATTTCGATTCTCTTACGGACGGCGCAGTGGCGACGATGCGATTTCTGCATTATCCGGCGCAGCCTAAAGATGCGGATGAGAAACTGAACCGGGGAATTGGCGCTCATACTGACTTTGGATGCGTGACTCTGCTATTGCAGGATGAGGTGGACGGTTTGCAGGTGCTCGATGCACCCACGGGTGAATGGCTGGATGTCAGTATTTCTGATGCCCAAATCAAATCTTATACCAGCACTGACTACGAATTCCAGGTGCAACCCGTCTCCGGAGCATACGTCGTCAACCTGGGCAATTTATTCATGCGCATGGCCAATGACAAGTACAAATCGAACACCCACCGAGTAATCAACAAGTCCGGTCGCGAGCGGTACTCGATCCCCTTCTTCTTTAGCGGAAACCCAGACTACATGTGCGAGTGTTTGCCCAATTGTCGCGAACCGCAGGAAGCGCCTAAATACGGCCCCATCACCGTTGAGCAGGCTGTCACGGCGGCGTATAAAGAAAGCTACGGTCGAGCTGAGAAGTACAAGCAGGAGATGAAGGTTAAGTTGGAGACTATGGCGAGCCCGGCAGTTGTGGCTACGTAAGCGTGTATTTACATGCTTAGTTGTGTGGGCAGCGCATAGAAATGGCTGAACGAAAGTTGTTGAGAAGGATCTGATTTGATACACAGTAGCAATGGCCAATAAATGCTTTTATTGCAGAGATTAGTCCTTAATTGCCTGGCCTCCCGTGTCTACCGAAGGTGGGCAGCAGAACACCGACTATGTTGCTATCATCAACATGATCAGCTTCAGGATATCAGAGCGAAATTTCAGTATCATCCCACTCTTGGATCCTTCCAGGCTTTGTATGACTTTGTAAGTCTTGACAGCATAATTTTAAAGTCCATAAAACAAGTCATTGTACCAGCATATGCCAGACATGCTCTACCCTATCCAGGAGTGGTAATAGTGCACCAGCCATGCCGGATAAAGAAAAGGACGACATTCAGTCCGCCACAGCTGCGCCTTCTGCATCCGTGGAGGAATGGAATCTTTCATCCATCGATGACCCCCAAGTTGAGCAATTTTATGGCTCGTCCACGACCGAATCGTACCGGCTCAAGTCTGAATTAGTGGGCAAATGTCTTGAGGAAATCGGGATGGGACGGTGAGCTTTCCCCATCGAAATCAGCGAATAATATCTGACAAAAAGCCGGCAGATTTCAATGGCAACTTTTCGTGGTCACCGGTTTTGGATGGATTGTCGACAATGTGAGCCTCCCATTGACAAGTCCATTTCAGCTTTCTGACACGCATATCCGATAGTTAGCATCACAAGGCCTCAGCAGCGTCCAACCCCCAGTAAAGCTTGAACTTCCAGGTATCACGCAAGTTAGCTTCAGTTCCGTGGCATACTATACTGGACTTATTGTGGGAGCCTCATTCTGGGGCATCTCCAGCGACTTTATTGGTCGACGACCGGCATTCAACTGCACCCTGTTAATCGCAGGTATCTTCTTGTGCGCTGCAGGAGGCGCGCTGAACTTTGTGTCATTTAGTGCCCTTTGGGCTGTTATCGGAACAGCGGCTGGGGGGAACGTTCCCGTGGACTCGATGATATTTTTGGAATTTGTACCGGGAAGGTGAGGCATACCGTTTACCCCGGAAGACGCACGCTGATAAAGACAGTCATCAATGGCTTTTGACAGCCTTATCCGCGTGGTGGAACCTCGGACAACTAATTGTTTCCTTGATCGCCTGGGTATTCCTGGCAAACTATAGCTGTCCAACGGACTCCACACTGAGCACATGCACTCGCAACGAGAATATGGGATGGTATGACCCGCCGCCAGAGTAACCATCCGTTGATACCTTCTGACCAGAGTAGGCGATACACGCAAATCTCCATCGGTGCATTATCATTATTTTTTACCGTCATCCGCGTCTTCCTGTTCAAGATGCCCGAGACCCCGAGATATCTCCTATCAAAAGGAAGAGACGGCGATGCCGTTGAAGCAGTTAACCATGTGGCACGTCAGAACAAAAAGCCCCAACCACTGACGGTTGAGATGCTCCAGGCCATCGACGAGCAGCTGGGGATTGGCATGGCTCATACGAGAGCCGTTGGTCTCTCCAATAGAGAGATCGCTCGAGAGTCGCTGAAGGATTTGAATGGCGCGCATTACAAGGCGCTTTTTGCGACCAAAAGACTCGGTCTGCATACGGCTATGATTTGGCTTATCTGGCTCACCATTGGTAAGGTACTTCCGTGTGGCTCTCTGGAGTGAAGTAACTAATGTATACCAGGAATCGCATATCCTCTCTACTTCAACTTCCTACCCTCGTACCTCGCAACGAGGTTCACCCAGGACTCATCCTTGAATCTCACATACCGCAATTATTGCATCGAGTCAGCCGTCGGCATAGTCGGCCCACTTTCCGCGGCCTGTCTAGTGAACACCTTTTTCGGCCGTCGCTGGATGATGGGCTTGTCTGCCATCGTGACAGGCGCGTTCCTCTTCGCATATGTGGTCGTCGATACACCCGCGGCAAGTTTAGCTTTTGCCTGTGTCACGGGGATATTGGCAAACTTCGGTCAGTCAAAATATACTTTCATGCGGGGAGACAAGGTCTAACTGAGCGATGCTAGAGTATGCAGTCATGTACGCCTTCACTCCTGAGTCCTTTCCGGGTCCGCATCGAGGGACCGGAACAGGAACGGCAGCAGCGTTGCTGCGCTTTGGAGGGCTGGCTGCCAGTTTAATTTCGGCTTATACGGGATTCACAACAGCACCGATCTATGCAAGTGCAGCGCTATGGATAGCGGTGGGGATTTTCTGCTTTGCGTTGCCGTTTGAAACCCATGGACATGCAGCTATATAGATCGGACTATGGGAAGCGAAATTGTCGTGGATAAAGACCTCTGGAATCGAACATTTTATTTCTAATTTCATTGCAAAGACAAATAAACATGCATGCAAAACCTCAATTTGATAGAAAGCAATCCCTGGCAAATTCGAATGTATATGGTATCATCGCCACGAACAAGCAGTATGAATCACCCAAGAAAACCATGATAACGGACATATTATTCCCCACTAGACCCATCTAATATCCTTCCTGGTCCACCGTGTTTTCTGTATAAACCTGCAAACTGTATTTGGCGAATTGGCTCCTCTCCCGTAGTCGCCGTCCGTAATAAGTAAAAAGGAATGGCGTGGCACAAAACACGGTTGCCACAGATGCCAAAACGGACACTGCAACATTGGAGCCAAGCGCACTGAACATTTTATCCGCAAAGAGAGGAAACATAGCTGACAGGACTGAGCGTGCGAGGGCAAGCGCCGCAAACCCGCTGGCCGCGTAACCCAGGTAGCTGTCGGCCATATATCCTGCCAACACAATGCTAAATTCATTGAGAGCGAAGCCAACCAAGAATAGCGGTAAGCAGCTCACAAACCAGTGTATATTCTGAATAGCTGGAGGAATAACCCAAGCAAACCACCAGAGGCCTGTGGCCAACGCCGGCGCGGCCACAAAGAGACCCATCAGTTTGTTCTCTGGCAATGAGGGATGACCCTTCTCCCGAAGGCGATTGGCAATCCGAATATCCCAAAGGCGAGTAATGATATTGCCCAAGAACCCAAGAGCAATGGCAAAAAATGGAAGACTGGACGGGGCTGGCGCGAAGCCCATTGACTGGTAAATGGGAGGTAGAGCTTCAGTAAACAGATAGATCAGGGCGACACAGGTTCCCTGCATCATCGCGCAAATGAACACAATCGGTTCGGTGCAAAATAGGCGAATTGGCCTAAGAAGAGCCGTACGCACAAAGGTGCGAAAGTCGGGCGTGTGGTCGGGATTCAGTGGCTGGAGCGACTCGTCCCCAGTCACCTTCCGCAAATGCTCGACCTCCCGGGCCAGCAGGAGCGACGGCCGCGATTCTTTGATCAGCAATAGAAGGCCTCCTAGGAACGCCGTAACTATGGCGGAAATATAAAAAACCCATCTCCTAGCAGGAACTTGTTAGCAAACTTCACAGAAACATGCAACCATTTCTTGGCGGGGCCTAAGATAGGGAAAGGAATGCAAACCATCCAAGACGCGTAGTGATGTGCATGCTCATCACGGGCCCCGTAGCAACCCCAAAATCGGCGATAGCGAAATACACAAATATCAACCAGATGCGATCCCGTGAATTGAACATATCCTCAATACTGCCAGTAATAACCACATTAGGAATCGCGGAGACGAAGCCGGTTACGGCACGGCCAACGACGGAAGCTGCTGGTGATGGAACGGCGGCAATGATGACACAGAATATGCTGAATATAGCCGTGCTTATCACGTATAGCCCCTTCCGCCCAAATGTTTCGGAATAAGGTGGAAATAGAATATTTCCGACGCCCTGCACTAGCGAAAAACTGGTGCATTCGTTAGAGCTTGGTATGCCGCACGGATGAACCAACACACTCACCTAGAGACATATAGGAATATCGACAAAGTGAGACTGATGCCAAATTGGTGACGAGCATCTTTTGCGGCCGTTGCCTGTCAAGCGTGAGAAACTTCCTTCTGGAAAGACGATTTAGGGCTATAGATTGACTTACTCCTGACGTGCTGACCGCGGTACTATTGGAAAAAGTCAGCTCCTCCGATAAAACGCGCCCAAGAGGAAACACAACCGAGCCCACTCACGTATAGAACTCCAGAAGAATGATGACGCCTATATCGTAAGCCTTCCGTAGCGGATGCCAATTTCGTGGATGTCGTGGATTCGTGTTGGCCCAACGGACGTGTTTTCCATCCGGCGTCAGTTCCAGTTCTTGCTCCGTCAATGCTGTTTGGAGAAGGGTGAACTCTGAGGTGTGACACTCTTTCATCGTGGGATAAGGCCTCAGCAATGTGGTGCCGAGGACGAGGTTGAAAAGGATTCAAAGAAATTCGCTGGTAGAAGTACTCAAGAGGAACGACAATCAAGGGATACAAGTGCCTATCGCTTAGCATGATATCGACATCAAAAAGAAACCCAATTCACGAGCATACTCGGCTTATCCACCCCTGTATGTCAATGCACCTGTTCCGTGGATGGGCTCGGAATCATCCATGCGGTTTGCCAAACGCTTTAACGGTTGGCCGCGTGGCATACCATTGGTTATGGCTCCTGGCTGGGACGGAAAGACGCAAAAGATAGTCCAATTAAATAACAGAGACGCGCCTAGAATGTGGATTACTTCCCCGGCGACGTTGGTTTGTTGGAAAAGAACGCCCAACGTGGCCCTTGCTGAGCGAAGCTTTCAGGCATACACCTACCAAGGGCAGACCCAGTCGTCAAATGATATCATTAATCATGCACAGAGGATATGGGCTAAATGCCCCGTCCCGTTTGCCCCCGCTATTTTCGTCTCGGAAACAGAGAAAAGACGGGGGCTGAAACAGGATTTCTGCAATGATTCGCATGACGATTGGAATACTGACTTCGAACAGATGCACGCATTACTTTGCAAACTGTTCGTTTCTCAATATCCGGCTCGTGTCCCTGATCTAGTCACTCAGTGTATCGGGTATGCGTAACTCAGTGCAACCCAGGAGTAACTCCATGGTTCTATTGTGGGCCGAAGCGCCGGACATTTCTAGATTCGAGATTCCACACGGCGAATTTCGTACCTCATACCCTCGCCCATAAAATTTATACTTGGCTCTCAAGTCGAACGAAGTCATCGATTGTACGAAGGTTAAATCATCTTTGGTGGAGGCTCTGAGGACTCCATCTGCCATACTCCGCACATTCCGCGGATATATCGGACTGAAAAAACTCGGGGATTTTGCACCGAGCGAAGATCATGCTCAACGGTCACACGGTGCATGTTTCACATTTCTAAATCAAGTTCTATCTTGTAATACGTCAGATAAGCGATGTGATTCTAGACGTCCGGGTGCGGCATACCTTTTCAACCCCATTATCTCCAGACGTTTGAGCGGGTGATTGGCTGTCCGGAAATCTGTAAAGCATTGTCCCACCTTGGATAGCGAATATTGGCTACAGCTCATGATTAAGGCGATCTGAACTCCTGGTATACGATTAGAAGAATCCCTAGAGTGAAGGACGAACGGACCATGCCTTTTCCGCTTGTCGCAGATCTGGCGGCTATAAGATGGCGCTATTCCTAGTTGGGGAATCTATGCCGCGTTAGACGCAGCTCGCCATGTCCGCCAATCAAATGCCGACTTACCTGATCAATTTTATTTTACTTCTGCTGTTGATTGCCTGGCAACATAATTAAGGCGAGAAGGATCTAATAGCAAAGGAGCCAAAGTACGCATTTTGCTGCACGAAAAGTTGAATTATCTGGAGACCGATCAGGGAGCCTGAAGTTCTGAACACTAAAGGACAGTGACGAAGATATGCGTAATCCGGGGTCAGGGGGGATACAGAAAGATGGATGTTAGGAAACGGCTCAAACGAGAAGAGAAACGAGAACGCGAGATGCATTGAAGGTCATTGTGCGTATCATCGAAAATGACAACCAGGTTTATTCAAACTTTCCCCCTGGGACAACGAACGGGAATGGGTAATAGAGCTCGTCTTCGCTTCGCTCGTGTCTTTACGATCAGAGCTACTGGACTCCAGCACCACGTTGAGGTGCGAGCTCATCGCTGGAGGGGGCAATACTTAACTGATACTTGCCTCTCCCCCACGGCTGCCAGCCTGTCCACCTCTCCATCCACGGCCGGATCTGTGCCTTGTTAGAAGACAGTTCGATTGGTTATGTTAATCTGTCTCAAGTTACCTAAGACGCCAAGATTAGTGTGGTTAACCCTAAATTCTGAAAATGAACTCACGAGCACGGGTCAGAGAGAAAGCGTTCGCGCATGTTGCTGTTCCAGTCACATTGTTCTGGCATGGGAAGGGGAGAGAAGTACGGCAGGTAAATGTCAGACGCTTATGCCTCCATGATCAGAGTGGCATTGCTTCCATTGCTGCGTGTCTAACTTGACCGATACTCTGACCCATTCTGAGATCCAGGTTAAACCGAAGGCAGTTGATGCACTCATCTATGGCCCGGATGGTTAGTCCAGGTTTGCCATTCTCTTGTTAAGCCACACATCAAGCTGAGTAACAGCTGCCAGGGATTTTGGATTCCAAGCGCCTTGGCAGCCTTTCGCAGCATAATGTGGATCCTGCCAAAGTAATCTTATCACAACGCAGGCAGTCCATCCATTGAGCCATTTTTTGAGAATTCAATGTCCGAGGACGGGATACCTGTGCCTGCACCAGTGGTAATTGTGTACTTTGGAGCCTATACATCACGTCGTTTCTTTTCTCTGGACGCTATGAATTGGGATCAAAAGGTCTTACTTAGCGGGTGTCCTGTCTTGAGTCACCCCGGGTCTTAGGCTCACCTTCTGTCAGCGTGTCTAGTCCGAGCATATAAGTGCGTGCCCTATGGACGAGAGGATATAGAACAAGGCCATCCGCTAGAACTTCTCCCCGTGACTGATTCTTCGTTCCGTTTGCCGCTGCGCTGGCTCTCGTTGCAACCGTCAATCCTGAACCAAAGGCTACACGAACAGCATGCAGATGCTTCATGATTTTTGCTGCGATCCGTGGAATGGGTTCGAGGGATCCGGGCCGTACATTAGCGTAGGTCCTGAGACGAAAGAATGTCCAGGCCCACTGTCTTCCTGGATGTGGACAATGGTATTCGGTGGAGCTCTTCGCTCATGATCTGGATTGCATCTTCTCCCGACGCAATATTCGAATCCGAAGTCCGTGGGGGAAGTATAGACGGACAGCCTGCAGGCCGTCTGCGATTGATGCTGGGGACTGTTCAAGGATCTGGGCCCCACGTTAGCCTGGGACCCTTTCAAGGCTAAATAGTGTCATATTCCACCTTCCAGTAGTCGAAGTCTCATTCGATGGCGAGTTTGAATGTCATGTTCGCATAACGGGTTGGTCTTGCATGCGTCAAGGAAACGTTCTAACCCGAAGCCCAAGGGAGAATATTTAAATGAAGGTCGAATAGTACGGATAGCATGCGCAATCACGGAGACTCACAGGCACGTCTGTGAAAGCCAATGTAAACAGGGTGGCCATAGTCTATTCTGAAGATCATTGGCTCCCAGATCATTACTTACAGTTTCCGCTCAATATTGAGGCTAATGTGGTCCAGGATTCCGCATAGCAGGCTTCGTTAATTAGCACAAGTTTGACGTTCATTGAAAGTGCGCAAATTTTTGGCCAGAAGAATATGCCTGGATCACTTCATTTTCTGTACACATTGTCCCTGTTGTTGAACGGGGGCTCGCTAGTAACGCTGTTAAACATAGAGATATATCAGAGATGCGAGTAAATAAACTGAATCATACATCAGGTAAGAGGATTTCTGGGCAGTGAATGCAATGTAGCCCCGGTAAATGATTGTTAGATTTGGCAGTGAACTGAAGGAGATAGCTCGTTATATTCAACATTAATTAATGTTAGATCTATGTGTCACATCTTCGATATAAGTGGACTTCTCTGCCGAATCTTCCACCCATACCGATAAAACACAAACGGAATCGGAATAAGAATCACCTCAATCAACGCCAGCATTGTCCCTGCCCAGTTAATCCCCATCCGATGATACATCTGCGAGCCAGCCAGCGGCAACACCCCTCCAAAGACATATCGCACTACTGAGTTCCCTGCCAGTGCTGACGCGGCGTATATCGTATAGCTACTGGCGAGATAAGTAGTGGCGTAGATGAAGACGAGGCCGTTCCCCAGACCAAATGGCACTCCCGCGAGAATTGGACAGATCCAGTGTACTGACCTCTGTGCTGTCCAGGAAAACCAGAATTCACCGATGGGGATCAGAATGCTTCCGATGCAGATGGGACTCACAGCTGCTTCTGGCGGTAACTGGCCGGTGACTGGGTCCGGACGATGCATTTGTATCATCTTGCGAACCAAAGGCTCAGATAAAACGGCTAAAACGACGCCAGTACCGATGCCCAAATACCCCAATCCTGCAAGCCCAGGGGACCAACCACGTTGTTCTTGAAAGACGATTGGATACCCGACGAAGCAAAGGAAGAGGACCGCGTAGATGACGCCGACGTAAAGGTTCCAAAAGAGGCATATCGGTTCGAAAACGGCCATGGACAACGGGCGAGTCAGGTTTGTGCGAACGAGCTGCCAACCATCGGTCCGGTTGTCGTAGTGACACCAGTAGCGTTTGTCGCCTGTTTCCTTTTGCATCTTTGCTCGTTTTGCTCGGAGGATTGCCGGTGCATATGTCTCTTTACACAAAGCGAAAGCTACAAATGAGATCCCTGCGCAAATAAGGACAACCCAGTTAATCCACCGCCATCCCAGGTACTGGTAGACAAATCCGCCGATGATAGGGCCTGTTCATCAGTTCCAGCTCCGTTACAGGGCAATTAAATCAACATACCTAACACCGGGCCATTCATAGCCCCCAAACTCCACAAACTGAACGCGAGCGCACGATGCTTAGCACTAATAAGATCGTTCACCGTACCCGGCGCACTCGCGACAGTCGCGCTACCAAAGAACCCGCTGAATATCCGACTAGCCACCACAGCAGCATAATTGGGCGCCAGCGCGACGGGCAGAATTAACACAGCGTAAAAGGCGCCAGTGGTGACATAGATTGGTCGACGACCGTACATCTCTGACAGTGGTGCCAGAATTAGACATCCTAGTGCTAAGCCGATGAGGTAGGTTGTCAGACCGAGAAGAGCGATTGTACGGTCGGAGATGTCGAAGGACTCTTGAATCCCGGGGACTCCAGAGGTATATGATGTCGAGTAAAGGACTCTGTGCGTATTAGCTATGTCCTGCAGAACTAAGTTGGAGGACTGACACGCAGGTCGTCGAGAAAGAAGCTGTCGCCACGATGAATGTCCGATACCAAACCGGCCAATTCTTCGGATTATCAGAGCCATCTGGCTCAAATGCAACCTCGAAGCTGTTATCTTGGGCGGAAATAGAAGCAGAGAGCTCTACATCCTTAGAATCGACCATTTTAGGTGTTTCCTGCGCCATCGGAGAAAGTGCCATGTTGACGGCGTTGAGTCTTCACAGCATATTTGTATCGGAAATCACGACGTCGCTTCTAGACAAGAAGCCGATTAGCCGTTGGATCACCCTAACTCTCGAAAAATAAAGGATTGTCTAGGCTACTGGGTATTGTAAAGATCATCCGGAATTGAGGGCGGAATTGCAACGGAATTTCCGTGATCCACACTGGAGAAAGTACAGACAGGTGAATTGCACATGAGCAACATAATGATGAAGTAAAGACGATATAAACACTCTCTTGTCAGCAAAGCCGAGATATGAGCATCGACTAAGTACCTGCAGAAATGCAGACACGGCCGTCATTCGACCAACTTCCACTGCGGCCGGATGATCCCACAATCTCGGCTTGGAGGCTTTGGGGAGAGGAGGATCAAGTCGGGACGTTGGTAAGTCACATAGTAAATACATTTGAGCCAGGCTGACTGCAAAGAACCTCATCGACGCAGATTCTGTGCAACGAGGCGCTGGGGAAATCCGGCTAGGGCTTCGGTTGAGTTTGAAGTAGGTTGACAAGTGCTTTCGGGAATCAGCTAACAGGCCATAGTTGGAGTCTTGACATGCCCAGAACGCCTGACTTTGGAAGACAAGGCTGTAAATTCACACATCGAGTACATCACGGCGATCTGAACTTGGTCACGCTGGACGATGAGGTTCGCTCTGTCCCGGTGCAACTATCGAGCTGGATGTTGATAACTATATGACGGGTGGATCCACTTCAAAACACAAACAGGAACCCAAATTGATGGCCTGCGACACTTCGCCTACCAAAAGACGGGCCAGTTCTACAACGGACACACGATCGACGATCTCACGGCACCCGAATCGACGACACTCGGTATCAACGCGTGGCACGCACAAGGAACTATCGCCGGTCGGGGCATTTTAATTGATTTCTAGGGATATACGGAGCGCAATGGAAAGACCTATGATCCCGCGCAGCAGCTCAAAGTTACACACGATGAGCTAATGGAGTGTCTTACCGAGCAGGAAAGATTATCAGGACACCCGATCGAGTTGCCAAGGGGAGATGTACTCTTAATTCGTTCGGGATACACCAAGAGATACATGGAGTTGTCTGGTGAAGAAGAACGAAAAGGCACATCGGTACCCCCCCGTGGCGTGCGGAATAAACCAAGATATCCGAATGCTGCGGTTCCTCTGGGACAAGCAGGTTGCTGTCGTGGGTGGCGATGCGCCGGCACGGGAAGTGCTGCCACCAAATTCTGAGGCTGGGTTTTTCTATCATGAAGTGCTGCTGGCTGGATGGGGATGTCCGATCGGGGAATTGCTCTGGCTGGAGGCTTTGGCGCGTGAATGCGCGGTACATCATAAGTGGTCCTTTTTTGTCGTATCCGTGCCATTGAATGTTCCTGGGGTGTTGCTAGTCCGGCGAATATGGCTGCTATTTTATAGTGCGCAGGGGCTGAAACATCTCAGGCAGAGTGATAGATAGTACATGGTTCTAGGTCTAAATTCTAAGTCTAAGCTAATACACAGCTTTATTATCCTTCCGGAGGGAGACGAATTGTATACAGATGATCGGAATCAGCGAGCAAGCACCAATAATTGCAACAAATACACCAGCGGCGCCGTCGAGTCCCAGTGCTTCGAACAAGGGGATGAAGTAGAACGGACCGATCTGTCATGAGTTAGCGTTGCTAGTACAGAAGCCGGAGGCAGGGAACATACGAATCCAAAAATCTGTCGGCAGATGTTGACAAAAACACCAACAGTTGTGGACATCTCCTTGTAGCTGTCGACAGCGAAAGAAGTCAGGATGGTGGTGAGCATCTGGTTACCGAAACTGGCAACGGCCGCTCCCACGCAAGGGGTCACATTCCATATTTCAGACGCTTTTTGCAGTTGAAAGCCCCAGGTCAACAGTCCGGCGATTACGGTGCCGTAGCCAATGTATGAAATCCACAGACGGTCGGCCGGACAGGTGTGGCCGCGTCTGCGAAGGAGGAACTTGAGCCACCAGTCGGACATCGGACCACTCAGCTGCTCGCCCAGGACACAACCGATGATAATGGCAATGTACTGCAGGCCGATCTGCTGGGGGCCAAAGTCGAATTTCTGGCCAAAGGCCGTGGGCATCTCGACGACAATAGCGATGTTTCCATAGCAAAAGGTGACGGCGTGGGCGCAGGCGGCAATCAGCACGCGGGGGTGGCGCGCCATGAAGAGAGGCTCGATGAACTCGATCGGCTTGAGCGGACGAGGGTTGATTCGTCGGGGCATCAGTCGCGTCAGGAAGCTGCTGTTGTCCTTGGTTGGGGTGTTTCCTCCATCCTCTGCAGAGACGTATATGGTTTCGTCACCAAAGACGATATAGGCGACAAACTGGACGAAGTTGAGAATGGTGAAGATCCAAAACACCCACTGCAGGCCGATGTGCTCAATCACAAAGCCCATGATAAACGGGCCGGCCGGGGTGCCGATGGTAGTCATCAGCGTCCACCAGCCGAGCTTCTGTGCGCGCTCTTCTGGCTCGCACAATTCCGTAACGACGCCACTGCCGATACCAATAGGAGGGGAGATAAGAACGGCAGTGAGCACACGAGTAGCCATCTGTGTTCCATACGTGGTGCAGAACACACCACCGATATTGCAAACCATGCTTCCGAACACGGACAGCAACATGATGGGATATCGGCCGTAGATGGAGCTCAGTGGTTTCCAGAAGAAGGGACAGATTCCCAGGAGCAGAATCTGAATCGAAGTGAGGTAGCTGACTTCGGTCATGTTGACTCCGTACCTCTCGGACATGATGTCGTATGCCGGGACGATGCCTGCTGCCATGAAGGTCGACATCATAGAATGGAAAGCCACCATGGCAATCTGCATGTTCTTCTTCCATTTTGGCCAGTTGCAAGGTGCGTCGGGAGGCGCTGGTTGCTCGGAGGGGCTATTCTTCGTCACATCTTCGAGGTGTAGCGAGGACTCTGGATCTGATGCCTTGAAATCCTCGGCTATCGGTGTCGAAATCGGCCTTGTATCACTTGACATGTTGGATTCTGGCGGGCTGTCTCTCGATCCATTGTACTGTCCATGGCTGCCATCTTAAATCGCAATTCCCCCAGGGGCAACACCCCATGGGGAGTCAATAGGAGTTCTGGCGAGTTCGGCTAAGTATGTTGATAACCAGATGCATTATTGGCGGAGCAGCCGACGATTGGCGAGGACTAATTTTGTCAGCGGAACCATTCCGCATGACTTGGAATGACAGCAACTCAAAAGCGGACTCGTAGTCTGGGCATGGCATCTGGGCATCGGCCGGATCATATCCCCCGGAGGGCGGGTGAAAGGTCAGACCGGGGTAAAAGGGTGGATATACAGAGTTCCCCGGGATATTCATTCAAGCTGTTAGTCAGCGGCACTCGGCAGAAGTCATTGACATCCAGTAGGGAGTAGTAATGTATGCATCGTATCCGGTCTAGAAATATTTCCGAATCGGGAAAGCCGGTTTTTGTTGCTCGGCAAATGACGTAAGCCCTTCTCCACGCCCGAGAAAGCGCGGGGTCGCATAAGTTGCCTATTCGGGGCAGCTACAAGGGAGTAAGCATTCATCCGGAGAGAAACAGTACAGATGCTTGAGGATGTTGGGTATGACAGCGGGCACAGTAGATGGCAGTCGACGTACCTGTTTGGACGTCATTCATGATAGTCATAAAGACCACAGCAGGAGCACCGGAATCACCTCTCATCAGTCTCGGGGCTGTTGCGGGTTCGATACCATACTCCGGAGCTGGGTACTCACACCTGGCAGTTGTCATCGTGGTATGTAGTGCAGGAATGGGCGGGAGCAGTCTTATATCTTATATTGGTGTATTCCGAGAGGCTCCCGAAGTGGGCTCCGAGAGTTGCCGGGAGATGGGACCATATATGGCTAATGGCACTATTTCGGGAGTCCGAGTGAACCGGCTCGAAATCGAATTGTTTGATTAGTTATGTCTGTTTTACTAACTAGTTATTCCATTCATTCGGTGAAGTAAATTGGTGGTGTTGCCGCCCCATATATATATATATATGTTCATTGACGGACTACATCTCTTAATTGTCAACTTTGAATAGTTATTGGGCAATAGTCATGCTTACTTGATTGAGCACGAAACGGACACGATCGTATATGTAGTAAACACCAGAACCTTAAGGTGAATGCAATCAAAGATGTAATATAAGAGGATAACGAGGTCCGGGGCGAGCGATAATGAAGTTCAGATGATGTGCACGCAATATTTTGCCCTCGAATCACTGCTCCAACTATAATATGCACCGGCAAAAAATGTCTAATTAAGTGAGAGGTTGAAGATGGCAATGAAGCAAAATGATGCACATCATTGCATACGCGACGACTGTATGTACAGGGTGCATGAACTCATCTACAAGAGAAAAAGCAAAAACGAAAAACAAGCGAAATAGTGAGTGATGCATGGTTTATTGTGTTATGCTTTTTCAGAATAATGCAAAAGCCATATAAGGTGCCCTAACAAAAACATTGTATCCAGTATTTGTTTACAATTGAAAAGTCAATTTCTAAAGGAAATAGATGAGAAATAGTCAAATTAAATTGTCAACTAGATGTACTAGTGAACAGCAGTTAACTAATGCAAAGATAGCGAGTAAAGTGAAAGAAAGAAATTATGCGACGCAGTCGAACGTCGACGCGACTGCTAAATGGAAGCCATCCAAAGAAAGATGGGAACCATCTAGATGAGGTCCTGGAGTTGGACGCAAGGCAGGGCAACGTTGACGAGACCACCCTCCTGTGGATCGTTAGCAAAGAAATACGGAGATAGAGGGTGAAGGCACATACAGCCTCAGCGTTGGTAGCATCGCAGCAGGCAATGTTCTGGTTGCATTCGGACTTGCCAAGGAGGTCATCGAGACCGATGACGGCTGAACCATGCATTAGTGTAAATTTGTCAAGATTAGATGAAGAATGACTTACCAGCGACAGAGAGGTCAGAGCACTCGTCCAAGAGAGCAATTCCCTGGCCACCGCCACCACCGAGGACGTTGTTGAGCAGACCAGCCAAGATACCAGAGCTCTTCTGGGTGTTGTCGCCAGACTGAACCTGTTTGTTGCAGCAAGACACCTTAGCCTGACCGCAGGTGTTCTGGGCCTGCTTGAGGGTCAACTGCTTGGGGTCCTTGTGGTGGGCACCGTTGGCGTTGGGAAGGGCCACAGCGGTGGCGGCGAAGGCAGCGGCAACAGCGAAGAACTTCATTTTGGTGGTGTTGGTTTGAAAGAGTCTGAAAGACTTGAAAATTGATAGAGTAGAGAATTGGAAGAGTGAAGAGAGATGCTTTGAGAGTGATGGATTGATGAGTGATGAAGAACAGATTTAGGCCGGACATTCAAGGGTCTTTATACCTTTTCGCTCGACCTTAGACCGCAGTTCAAAGACAGTCTTCGGAGGCTGAAGGACTCACCTCGAATAGCAGAATGCCACCGTATGCTCTGCCCTTCCAGAATGAAGGGCGTTGAGTCGCAGTCGCATCCCCCGTTCAGCTGTAGGGAGGAGTACGCACAACTGTGATGCATTCCAGCGAAGCAATATCACACTGCAAGGGAAACCAATCAGTGTTCAGCAGCATGTATCTTATCCCTGCATTCCAAGGCACGAGGGAGAAAGAATGCATGAACATGCAGGAACTCTCGTCTTTGCCCGTCCCGTAAGGTTGCATTGCCGAATTGCTGAGCACGGAAAAAAAAAAAAAGTACATAGCAGGTGGTTCATGGCTTTGGTGATATCGACCGGAATGACAGGAATTGCTTTTTCCCGATCCAATAGCGCTGATTCCATAGTAGCAGGGTAGTAATTTTTCGAATCCTGGCCAGTTCGGAGTTTCGGATGCCGTTCTTGTCTACGGTGTATAGCGACTCCGTGTACATGCACGGGGTATGCACGAAGTAGGGACATGCACTAACGGATAGAAAGCACATACATGAGAAGAACAAAAAAAGAATGCAAACTCATCAATTACCAACTGAAGGACTCCTCCACGTACTCGACTTGATACCCTTGCTGCAGCCTTGCATGCACACCGGTCCGTGTCTCATCCGCCATCCCCCGCGGTCCGCATACTACCACCGCCGCCGAGCAGTCGCTCAATCGTGCCTCGTGGGCATGTTCAGTAACCAGTGATGCTAGATTCGGTCGCCCCGCGATTAGCTCTATCCCCAGACCGAAGAGATCGTGTCCGGAAGGATCAACGTTGCTTGCATTTGTTACGTAAAACGACGTTCGTATATCGTCGCGTGCCAAGGCCGGTCGCAGTTCGCGAGTGGCGATGTCTGCGATGAATGACGCCTGTCGACTTGTCCAGACTAAGTGTATCCCCTGTGTCCGAGTATTGGTAGATTCGGAACGACGGAAATGCTCCTGGATGTACGGTACGGCAGCGGCGATGCCCGTCCCGCCGACCACGAACAAAATGGATTCATAATTCCAGATTGGAAACGTACGCCCGTAAGGGCCCTCCAGTAGAATCGTTGCATTCGTCCTGCGATCGGCAGAACGAAGACATTGCTCGCGCAGTTGGCGCGTCCAGCCATCGTAGGGTCGGATCCAGAATGTTAATTGCAGGTCGTGTGGAGTCGTTGCAGGGCCAGATGTTATCTCGTCACGTTCCGAACCAGAGGAGGAATCTGACAGGAGAGGAACCTGGGCCACGTCGGTGGGTGTTGCCTTGCTTGCCGACGATTCCGGCCCAGACACTGATCCATACGACCAAGCGCCCAAGGTGAACGGGTGGCTCTCCCAGCCAGTGAGACGAGATGGCTGGTAGAGGAAATAGTACTGGCCTGCAGCCGGTTTTAGGAAGCACCCTGGCTTCAATTGTAACCTCACCACATTGCTAGTTTCGCCGTAAATGGCCCAACTGCACGTACTTCGAACGCAATTTTCAAGATTAATTTTAACATGCAGGTTGCAATATACCAAACGTACCAGACGAAGGAAGCGATCAGCTGCCCAGATGGCCACAGCTGGCCATAACCATTGCCAATATTCCAGATCCTCAAAAATAATTGTGTGACTACGGAGTTGTCAGCGCTTGTAGACGGAAGAGACGGAAGAGACGGAAGAGGCGCACTAGAAGCAGCCAACCAAGGCAATGATTGAAAAGGCAATATGGATAATCAAAAATATTTCGTATGTTCGAAGACGGACCCATGCCAGCGACATGGGCAAGAGGAGCAGCATCACAGTCATGGCCTGTTGGTCAGCTTTGGACGACAAATGAGGATGGAACTTACCAGCGTGCCCCATAGTAGATACGGTCGCTTCATCTTTTTCCAAAATGCACCGCCTACGCCGTCAGTAATTTCCCCTGCAGGGTGATATTTCTACGAGGCATACCGTCTATGAACATGATGCCGTATAGTAGGGTATGGACGACGGCCTGCACCGTAGCGATGACGGCAACATGGCGATGGATTATATTGAACGTCGTGAAGCTCCACCCAGTAGCCCAAAGAAAGATGTTATTTCGTCCCGCAAATATCCAGAGTAGTGGCAGGTTGGCAAACGAGAGGATTCCGGTGCGATCGGCTACATATCGTAGGTATTGTTTATATATCGACGGCCAACTATATATTTCAGCAACTGTCATATATATCATATATAGGCATCGGGCACTTACTAGAGGTTCCCCTCAAATGTCGGATAGCTGATGGATGATAGAACTATGTTCAGTAACCAGAACAGACCGAGGACGATGCCGTCGATGGGCGTCGGTGTAAACCAAAGAAACCGTCGGGGAATCGAAACGACCAGATGAGTTTGGAAAAAATGATAAGCCGCACGAAAGAACGTCCATGGCTGTCCTGGCAGTCGTCTATTTTCCCAGAAGTGCTGAAACACCCGATATATAATGCCAATCACCAGCACACCCGCCCAATATATATAGCATGCCAGCCCATACGCCCGATGCCTCCCACTCACGAATTGCATATCCTCGATGGTGTGATACGTCCGCTTAAAGTATTCCTGCGAAACCATCACTGGCGCATAGAGAGGCTCATGCTTCGGAATCACGCCATATTCCACCACATTCATCTGCGCAATCGCATCATCCGTCAAATTCTCAGCCAGCGCATCGCGGGGGAGGAGATCGGTTCGACCAAACTGGCGGCAGTATGCTGCAAACAGCGCGAACCCGGAGGTTTGCTCGTCGGGGTCACAATATATACCGGATGCGGCGTAGATGGAGGTGACTTTCAATGGATTCTGACATCGCGAGTCCCAGAAACCGGCGGGACCGGTGAAGGTGAGATAATTGTAGGCCGTGAAGACAGCAGTGACGCAGCGCTGATCGAGGGGGATATATTCACAGAGGACTGTAGGTACAAGAAAGAGCCACAGCATCCACATGGCGACAGATAACGGCCATGAGTAGTAGTGGGGTTGAAGAGACAGGGAGAGATGGTGATAATCTTATCTGATCGGCACAATGTGCATAATTACTCATGTGCATAACTACACACGTGGATAATATGCACAGGTCCGTTGTGCTGCATTGGTTGCATCAACGGTTGATATGCGTTTCCTAGCCCCATATCTACATTCTTCCATACACAGTTTCTCTCCGGCGTCGCCACTACATGGCACTGGTCCAAGAACTGAAGAACTAACACTTCCATTCTACCACCAAAAAAAGCATTACTATCTGGTGAGAATCAGCACCATATTCAAGAATCGCTACCGCGTCATTGCGAAGCTCGGCTACGAGCATACTCTACTGTTTGGCTTGGATGGGGTATCAGATCAGAGCAATACGCATCCTTGAAGGTCTGCGTGAGGGACGATACTGAGGGGACCCCTGTTCTCAATGAAATCGTTATGCTGCAACGCTTGGGAGGCTGACCACCCTGGGTTGGATTTCACGCGTCTTGCTGAAAAGATTTATGAGACCAAGGGTTACCCTGGCCCTTACTATTGTGTAGCCACAAAGCCCCAGGGACCTAGCCTTCGCACTTTGCAAGAATCATTTTCCAATGCCAAACTACCAAAGCTGCTCGTCAGGTCTTCTTTACACCAGCTACTGCTCCGAGATTGGCTTCACGCGACATGTGGAGTCATGCATACCAATATCTCACCCCAAAACATGTCAATGGAGATTGAAGATGATACGAGCCTGGAAGATATTGAGGAGCAAGAACCGCAAGATCCCAGCATACCAGCACAAAGTATGGAGAACCTGTCTATTAGTCTTGGGTTATTATGTTGGAGCTTTCAGGGGTCCCCATTCTCACGGACTTTCTGCAAATGTGACCCTTGAAACTTGAAAACAGGATTGGTGAACGTCTGATCTATATCGTGCACCAGAAATGCTGTTGGAACTCCCTTGGGGTTTTCCAGTTGATGTCTGGTCGATTGGAATCCTGGTGAAATGTTGTTCCTTTTCACAATTTAACGTTGCTAATCGATACCAGACACTCGAGCTGTTGGAAGGCAGAAATCTTCTCGGTCCTACAGATCAGACCCACAACCAGTACTTCGACTATCCCGGGTTCCCGTTGCTAGAGATTATCAAGAGTCCGCTATGCTCCATTATTTCAATGGCCAAGGAGATCGGGTATCCGACCCTATAATCCCGCAAATGTCCTTGGGAATCTCGTAACTACCATTCCTCCAGGAGAGGAAAAAGACACGTTTCTGAGGTTTATCCGGGAGATGTTAGCCTGGGATCCTGAGACGCAAGCAACGGCAAATGAAATGATCCAGGACGAACAACATATGCAGTCTGTTGAGATGTCTAGGTCAAGCCTCAGGAGGTATACACAAAGGTAGATAAATATGGATAACCATCATAAAATATAGTATTATTCATTGTTGCGGGCATAAAATTCATAAACAAGTATAATTCATAGCATAATCATAACTCTATGTGCTGTATACCAATTTTTCTACTCTAAAGCTTCGCCGGAACAATCCGCTCCCCCTTCTCGTCAAATTCAATTTTCTTGCCCGTAATCAAGCTCTCCTGCAACGCACATCCAATCCGCACAGCAGCCACAGCTCCCTCCAAGCGCATCGGCGGTGGCGTGTCATCCAAGCAACTCGCGGTGAACTCGTTGGCTTCAGTAATGAAGGCCTCGCGGAAGCGGCCGTAGTAGTGCGGAGGGATCTCGCGACGAATACCACTTGGCTCGTAGATATTGACGAGGTTCGAAGCGGGTTGGGTGTTGACGGCGAGTTTACCAGCTGTGCCGGTGACTTCGGTGGCTGTTCTTCGGTTAGCATATGTATACAGCTAAGTCAATGGGGAAAAGACGAACAGTCTTCTTGGCCAGCAGCCATCATCCGACTGCAGAACAGCTGGGCAATACGGCCGTCATAGAACTCGACGATTCCCAGCGCATTATCCCGGTCATTGTACTTGCGCAGCTCAGGCGACACAGCCGTGATACCAATCGCGGTAACGGACTTGACAACCGAGTCCTCACCAAAAAACCACAACGCCAAATCAATGTCATGGATCGAGCAGTCGACGAAGATACCACCCGAGAACTGCGCGTATTCGACAAAGAAACCGCTAGGATCGAGCTTGTCGCAGGTCTGCGAACGGAAGACGCTCGGGCGACCGATAAGACCGGACTTCATCTTATCGAATGCATCACGGTAGGAGGAATCGAAGCGGCGACTGAAACCGCAGACGACCTTCTGCGAGGGGTTGGTTTTCTGGGAGGTGCGGTAAGCGTCGACTACTGCTTGACTCTGTTTTCGGTCAGACTCCTTCCTTCAATTGGATGTTATCAGAGCATAGATACATACCTCCTCCACTCTAGTACTCAATGGCTTCTCGCAAAGGACGTGCAGGCCCTTGTTGATAGCCTTGATGGCCTGCTCAGCATGCACACTGGTGGCCGAAGCGACAACGACCGCCTGCAGCGATGGCTCAGAGCGCAGCATCTCATCGTAGTCGAGGTACGTCCGGGCTCCCTCAAGGTTTGTCTTAGCCCAATCGAGCTCCTCCTGCTTGGGAGACGAGACCGCAATGACCTGGGCGCGAGGGGTGAGATTATTGAAATGCAGGGCGTGCCGGGCACCCATACGGCCGAGGCCTGCGATTGCGACTTGAAGCTTGGACATGGTAATTGATTATCGTGCAATTAATTGAATTGATTGAATTGAGGATGAGAATTGACGAGAACAACCGAGCAGAGCTGTTCTTATAGCTTCATCTTGTGCTTCAGTTCATAGTTACTCCGCATAAATAAGGATATAGATCCCCGCATAGTAAAGGCAATGTTCGGCGGACATTACCATATTGACAGGGCAGGCAACCCTCGGCGCGCCGAGAGTAACAAAAGGACTAAAAGACGGTCAATCCGAGTGAGGGGTGCATACGCAGTACAGAAACATGGATCATTCCAAATAGGGGTGAGGTCCGGGGTGATTTTGCCCGTCTTGTAACCAAATTATGCTAAATATGAATATTTACTCCGTATAGTGCTATGAGATGCTATCTAGAACATACAAAATAGTGATACATATACAGTCCTAATAGTAGTAGAGTACAGTAGTCATTGCCATGCAACCGTTAATCGGTCCTCCACTCGCTGAGTCGGAAATGCATGCTCCAAGCGCATTACCTCCAACACCCCCAGAAGTGCCTTCTGCTCTTTCGGCAGCTCGAAATACTCTCCACAAGTCGTGATTCCCATCAAGGCCTCGATGAATGTCGGCGCAGACTGCCTGTTGCTCAACGCCATTCCGCACAGTCGCAGGACGATTGCTCGCACACTGTCTACGATCACGCGATGCTGAGCAGTAGACCCAGGCCCAAGTCGCGGTCGCGTTGGATCAAAAACGAGCAGCAGCAACCGGGACAGCTCTCTGTGAGTCATACCAGTAACATGACAAGGATCGAGATGCCAGATCTCCGGAAAGACCTGTCCACGATCCGGGTCCGGGGGACGGACGTAAAGAGGTTCAAACGAGGCCGGGAGACAGGCATGAAGTTGATCCTGGTAGGTGACTAGTTCGTGCCACCGATGGGGAGATGCCGACTGGGATGCAGGTGCAACATCCTGACTGCCGTAGCAGTACTCGAGCACATCGGCACAGAAGATAATCAGCCGGTCGGCCCAGACGGCGTCCGTTGCGGGAGACAGTGTCCGAAACGCATCGCAATAAGACAGGGGAAAGGAGAGAGGGCGTTGCTTCATAAAGGAGGTAAAAACCTCCTGACGCAAAGCCACCCAAAATGCCGCTTGTCGCAGACCATTAGGAGGGTCTGATGAACAATTACTACTGGGACTACTACTATGGGGAAGCGCAGCATCATGAGGCACCTGGGCCGAGATAAAAACATTCAACATGCGCAGAAACACCTCCTGATCCTCCGGGTTCTCCCGCAACGGAGCGTCCATTTCCTCGTCGGTCCGTAAGATAATGGCGGCCGCCAACAGGTTATCATTGTGAATCTGGTCCGGATCCATACTAAGAGCCAACAGGTCCGTAATGCAGGCCGTATGATATGCCAAGGCGACGGCCTCTGTGAGGTCGGGCAATGCATGGCCTTGCCATTCCACCACACCGGCTGTATTGCGATGACGCTGCAGCCGAATCAAATGGCGGGCAGCCGTGGTGAGGATTGCATGACGGAGCGGCGCACAGGCTCGCGCGCGGCGAGGCACCAGTTGGGTAAAATGGCGCTCCGGATCACATAGATCAAACCGGGCCGCCACCTCCTCGGTGAAGTACCGCAATAGGATGGCCGTTAGGCGGCCGTGATCAACACTTGGACTGGGATCGGGCTCTGCGTGAGTCGGGTTTCTTTGTTCACGAGAGGAAGGACGACACGGGTGTTGAGGGTCAATTTCCGGGGGAATCGGCGACCCGTCATTATCCGCAGGACTATCAATGATGTCGTTATCATTATGCTCGTCCTGATTGACCCAGGTATTGGCCATGACGTCGTGCGTCTCATCGACCCAACGCCATCGGGCAGCAGACCTTCCCCTCCCGAGAGAACCAGATACCGCCGGCAACCAAACTTGGTCTTGTGAGAACCGGAGATTCGACGATGACCGGAAATGGACGGGACGAGGCCGATGACAATCCAGAGATAGGGACTGGCAGCGCTGGCATTTCTCTGGAGGGCCGTGGCATTTGAGATGCCGCGCTGTAGTATAGTTAGTGTAGAACCCAAAAGAAAGGGGAAGATGGACGTATCTGCAGTGTGTGCAGGGCAAAGGCCGCGGCATGACGGCGAGAATTGCTGATTCGGGACACAAAATACGAGAGGAGAATGAAGCTATTCAATCAGCGTCGGTTGATTGAGCCATGCGACAAATATACCCCAGATAATCCCCGCATTTATTTCCCCGCGTTTACAGCCAATCAGATAAGATTCGGCTTTTGACGTCTATGTATAAATATACAGTAGAGAGGCATGGGGTAAGGTGTATAGCAGAATACAGCAGAACAGCAAGGGGAATCCGGAGAGAATGGAAGAAATCAAAGCAAAAAACGCCTCTGCCGACCACATCGAATCCATTGAGGCCGGTGATACCAAGAAAGGCATCCCCGATCTCGACGAGCTCAATGAGATTCCCGTTGGTTGGTTTGTCTGGGTTGTGGCCATCACGGCCTCGATTGCTGGTCTGTTGTTTGGTTACGACACGGGTGTGATCTCGGCTGTGTTGGTCTATATCAAGACGGACTTGGACGGCAAGAAATTAAACGAGAGTGAGAAGGAGATGATTACTTCGTTATGCTCTGCCGGGGCATTCTTTGGTGCTATTTGTGCTGGTCTTGCAGCAGACAAGGTATGTTTGTCCACGTGGTATTAGAGTAAACGCTGACCTTTCAGTCCGGCCGTAAACTTGCCATCTATATCGGGTCCGGTCTGTTCACCATTGGCGCTGTCCTTCAAGCCGCTTCCTATTCCATCGCACAGATGGCTGTCGGCCGTTTCGTCGTAGGACTTGGAGTCGGGTCTGCTGCCATGGTGGTCCCTCTGTACGTGGCTGAATTGGCACCGGCCAAAGCCAGAGGTCAGCTTATCGGTCTGAACAACATCTCCATCACGCTGGGTCAAGTCATCGCCTACGCATTGGGTGCAGCATTCGCACGTGTGCCGGCTGGTTGGCGATATATGGTCGGACTGGGTGGCGTGCCCTCAGTCATATTGCTTGTTGTCCTGCCTTTGCTTCCGGAATCGCCTCGTCATTTGGTCTATCGCGGGAATCACGAAGAAGCACGCAAGGTTTTGCACAAGATCTACGGCAAGGCGACAGAAGAACAAATCGATTTGGTGCACGCATCGATTGTGGACGCCTGCGACGAAGCCCGCCGAAACAACGAGAACGAAAGTCGTTGGAGCAAGATTAAGCAGCTGCATGGGGATCGGGCCAATTTGCGGGCCCTCTTCAGTGCCTGTGGCCTTATGGTTATTTCGCAGATCTCTGGGTTCAACACTCTGATGTACTACTCGTCCACTCTATTCGACATGGTCGGCTTCAGCGACCCGGCCGCCGTCGGATTAGTCGTCGCGGGACCAAACCTGGTCATGACAGGTGTCAACATGGTCCTTGTCGACCGGATGGGTCGACGCAGGTTGCTGCTCTGCACTGCATGGGGCATGTGCGCGAGTTTGATCGCGGTCGCTGTGTCATTCCACTTCATCCCGGTGAACCAGCAGACGCTCGAAGTACCGGACTACGCGCACATGTCACCCCCGACCATCGCGGTCCTTGTCTTTGTACTCCTGTTCGTCATCTCGTACGGTTTGTCGGTCGGCAACACGGCCTGGATGAGCGCCGACTTCTTCCCGCTCGAAGTGCGATCGATGGGAACAATGTGGATGACCTGCTCCAACTGGGTATCCAACGTGATCGTGTCCAGCTCGTTCCTGTCCATGATGAAGACCATGACCCCGGCTGGTACGTTCGGTTTCTACGCGGGAATCTGCGGTGTCGGCTGGTTCTGGATTCTGTTCTTCTACCCGGAAGTGTCCGGATTGCCACTGGAAGAGATTCGCGTGGTGTTTGAGCGTGGCTATGGCCGGAATATGCGCACTAGACGCTGAGCTGGTGATAGACGGTGTAGGTAGATGATTTATCCATGTACAGTATAGTATGAATCTACGTCTTGACATTTAAAATAAGGTTACTCGATTATATTACCCGATTAGGAAATCCCGTAGTTTTCCCGAGTTGTACGTCTCCCCGGACGTGAAGTCGTGATAGCTACCCCAGAAAGGCATTCTAAAAGAAGCCAAAGAAGACGTAACTCAATCTGCAATCTATATTGCCCCCCACGATCCATGTTACCCCGTATAACCATAATAACCCCGGATATACGAATAGCATCTCTTCCCCATGGGGTCGGCAAAGCGTTCTCCCTCGGCGATGCCCCGAAGACTCCACTTGTGACAAGCGAATATCCACAAAATAAAACGTTCAGATGGAAAAACAAACGGCAAATCCGGCGGCGCCAAAAGTCAGCAGAAGAAAAGAAATATCCCGATCTGGGGTTTCCCCAGATATACAAACCGCGCCCCTCGCCGTCAGTTCGCTCTCCGCTTCATACACTCGGACAGACAGAACAATCAACATGTCACTCTTCTCGGTGGTCGAGGACCGCCCTACTCCCCGCCAGGTCTACAACTGGCGGATTTTTGTCTTGGCTGCCATCGCGTCGTCGGCCTCATGTATGATCGGTTATGACAGCTCGTTTATCGGACAAACCGTCGAATTGACTTCTTTCCGCGATGAATTCCACTTCGAAGACTGGTCCGATGCCAAACAGGACCTTGTCACGGCAAACATTGTTTCGCTATACCAGGCCGGTGCCTTCTTCGGTGCGCTCTTCGCCTACCCCATCGGTTTCTACCTGGGTCGGAGATGGGGCCTTATGATCACTGGCATTATCTTTGTTTTGGGTTCTGGCTTGATGCTGGGTGCCAATGGTGACCGGGGTTTGGGGTTGATGTATGCCGGCCGCGTCCTTGCTGGAATAGGTGTGGGTGCTGGTTCGAACTTGACACCTATCTATATCTCGGAATTGTCGCCGCCAGCTATTCGCGGTCGCTTGGTCGGTATTTATGAATTAGGATGGCAGGTGGGAGGTCTGGTTGGATTCTGGATCAACGTATGCTTCCCTGACATTGTGAAGTATATGAACGCATATTGACCGAAATAGTTTGGAGTCTCGGAAACTCTCCCTGAAAGCCACAAACAATGGCTTATTCCCTTTGCCGTCCAGCTTATTCCTTCTGGATTTCTCTTGGTCGGTTCCTTCTTCATCCGCGAGTCTCCCCGATGGCTGTTCGGCCGCGGCCGTCGCGAAGAAGCCGTCACGAATCTCTGCTGGGTTCGTCAACTGGCCGCAGACGATGTCTACATTGTCGAAGAGATCGCTGCCATCGACCAAGCTCTCGAGGAGCAAAAGGCCAAAATCGGTACCGGATTCTGGAAGCCGTTCAAGGCGGCCGCGACCAACCCCAACGTTATGTGGCGGCTATTCCTCGGTTTCATGCTTTTCTTCTGGCAGAACGGCTCCGGAATTAATGCCATCAATTATTACAGTCCCAAGATTTTTGAAAGTATCGGCATCCGGGGCAGGGAAAACCAACTTCTGAGCGGAGTCTTCGGAGTGGTCAAAACCGTGGTTACCATTATTTGGTTGTTGTTCCTGATTGATAACTTAGGAAGGCGGAAGCTTCTTATTGCCGGCGCAATCTCGGGATCGGTATGCTTGTGGGTCATCGGCGCATATATCAAAATTGTCGACCCGGAGAACAACCCTAAGCCAAATCTTGACAGCCCCGGCATCATGGCAATCGTTTTCTTTTATCTTTACACAGGTATGTATTCCCTTTCTTTCTTTTCTCTTCTTTCCCCTGTTTTGAAATCTTGCCTTGAATGCATGCATTGCATGATGAAGCAACAAAAAAATCGTATGATCTTCGGTGACTGTTCCACTGACGGGCATGGCTTCAGCGTCGTACATTCCTTCATGGAACGGGACCCCATGGGTACTTAATTCAGAGATGTTTGATCCAAATATGCGTTCTCTGGCTCAAGCTGTGGCCTCCGCGAGCAACTGGTTGTGGAATTTCCTCATTTCGCGCTTCACTCCGCAAATGCTGAGCACAATGCAGTACGGCACATACTTTTTCTTTGCCAGTCTAATGATTCTTTCCGCCTTTTATGTTTTCTTCCTCATCCCGGAGACGAAGGGTGTGCCGCTCGAGCGTATGGACCGGTTGTTCGAAGCCAAACCGGTCTGGCGCGCGCATGGCCGGATCTTGCAGCAATTGCAGGAGGACGAGGCTGAATTCCGGCGGGAGATTGAGGACTCCAAGCTGTGTGATGACAAGTCGAGGGAGGAGTTTGTCGAGAAGGCATGATATAAATACGATTATGTTCACGGTAATGATAGAGCTCTGAACGATTCAATTAGCGACTATAACTAAATCGAAGATTATAATACTTGTTTTGATAACTGTAATATTACTGAACATATGTAATTTTAGTCTATCAGAAAGAGATGAGGAGTTGATGTTGAAAACGGTCGTAGATGAATGGGAAGACGTTGGAGGACGGCGACAACATGTGTGACTGAGCACACTGCCCTAACTGGCCATTACGTGTATCCTGCTCCTCTTCAACTTCACCTGCTAGTCAATCCAGGGCTATTCACTATTAGACTAGCTGACTCGTTTTGTTTTCTTCCAGTCTGTAAACGCTCTTTCATCTCAGCGCCCCCTCTCTCCAATAATTCTTACCGGTCACAACAACATCGGTATTCCCTTGGTTGCTATTAGTGAAGTATCAAGCAAATACACTTGCATTAAGTCATGGCGAGAGCCTTCTTAGCTCCCCTAATATGATTTACAATATGCTGTGCGGTTATTGTTCTGACTCCTGCAGCGAAGATAACCATTTCACCGGTGATTCTAGCTGTTTGTGGTTTGATGACATGGTTTATGGGACGAGATGCTGAGATCCTCTGGAGGCCTAATGATTATAGGAGTTACGGATCTTTGCGGTACAATTTTGCAGGGAAGAAAAGTGGATGCAGAAGGTACATGGTGACCTTTGCAGGAAGATGGCACGAAAAACAGTTGTTCGGAATCTGGATTTTGCACCAACAGCATATAACATGAATGATAACGAACCAGGCATCTCAGAGTAGATATAATAGACCCAGATCTACCAAGGCTATCGGGTGTGTCTTGTACACGAGAAAGGTAACAATCGTTCCATGTCCATGTCACTTACAAGTCAAGTGTTATCATTTTTGTTTGCATAGTGTTGTCTTTGATCATCTCCCTGTTCTTCGTCAGCCCTGCGATGAGTGGCATCAGACATGCCCTGGTCCATGAGACATATGGTTAGGGCAGCGTGCGCGTCTAGGATATACGTACCGGCAAGCCGAGGACACGAAGACAAACATGCATTGAAATGGCTGAAGGGGTACATGGCTTAGGATTTAGGGTACTTTTCTCTTTCAGTCCGTATTCCCTCAACTTTTTCTCACTCCACCATGTCGATGTTTCTTTCACTAGAGTTAGCGCCATGAATGATAGCTAAATGTCTCGGTCGTGCTCTGTTGCACTTTCCTCTCTGCGTTCCTTCAAAGCTACCAAAGCATTACGGGAAGGCCCACACATCTCTTACAGAAGCCACAATGGCATCTTCTGTCCTATACCTGTACGGCCAGGACATTGCCTTGCAGCATTCGACGGAAATCGAAAAGCTGATTCAAGGTTGGCTCAACACAGTGTCATGTATTAGTTATTTCGTGGAAGTTCAGCTAAAAAGGCAACTAAAACTGAGCAAATGCTCTCACTGTCGGTATCATAGAACTGAGAGGCCTTACATCGAACGGTTTAATAGAGTGGATAAGTAGCGGCGGAATATAATTTTGAAATACACTAAATTATACTCGATGCTCCATGTAACTATATACAGAAACCATTACAAAACAAATATCAATCTATCAAATCACAAACGCAAATGCACCCTTTTTTTTTTTTTTTTTTTTTTTTTTTTTTTTTTTTTTTTTTTTTTTTTTTTTTTTTTTTTTTTGGTTCGTTGTTAGGACCAGCCTAACGCAACGAAGAAACAATCCTTTCAATCTCCCTTCCAATCTCGCTCACAAACTCCTGAACCTCATCCCCCGTCAAGAGACCACCCTCAACTCTCACACCAAAGCCAATAGAGTCCGTACGAACATCAGGACCAATATCAATGTAAACGTTCGCGTCAGGAATGTACGAAGTATCCAAAGCAGCCACCGAAGTAGACGTGTTGTCCACAGGAGGCAGAGGCTCCGACGGGATGAAGTCCGTTGGCACACCGATGCGGAGGGTCTCGAAGAGCTCGCCGTTGGCTGGGGGCTGCACTTGCATCCAGAGGAGGTTGACCCAAGCGTTGAAAAGGGGCGTCTTAGTGCCCTTGGTGCTGGCCCAGCGGGCAAGGATGTCGCGAAGAGAGCTTTGCTCGTAGCTGACGCGCTTTGCAAGGGAGGACTGGATGTCACGGACCTTCTCCAGCATCCCAGTGCTCGATTGGTCCGCGTTGGGAACCACAAACGGAGTAACGTTCAGGCAAGGACCGGAAAGACGCTCGATGTCAGTGAAGGAGGCAGATCGTCCAGTCTGGTACAATCCCATGGTCGGGCTGTCGACACCAGTCGAGCGAGCGAGGCAACGCGAGACGGCGAGCAGAACGGCACTCTGAAGACCGATTCCGGAAGAGCGACAGGTATTTTCCATGTCCGAAAGGTTCTTGACCTTTTCCCATGCACCGACAAACAATTGTTCAGCAGGTCCGGAACCTTCACCGCCCTTGATCAAGGTTGGGGTGCTGGAACCAACAACCGACGACCAGTAAGCCGATTCATCAAGACCACGAACAGAGCGCACCGAGTAGTCGACAAACGACGGGAAGTTGGGGTTGGTCTCGGGCGCTTCTCCGCGGTAGAGCTTGGCAAGTTCAGCGACGAACATCGGCATTGTCCAGGCATCGTAGGCAGCGTGGTTGATCAGGACCTGGATTCCGTCACGGTCGCTAGCCTTCAAGAGGCGGAGACGAACAGGCGGGACAGACAGCGATGACGGTTGCAGGCCTTCTTCTTTCGCCTGTTCCTTGGCAGCTTCGGTGACGGGCAGAGCAGAATCGATGACCTTGAAGGTGTCGTTATCGGGGTGCTTCATGACGACCTGGTAAGCGTCGGATGGAGAAGTGACAGCGAAGCAGGTTCTCAGGATTGGGTGTCGTTGACGGAGCTGAAGCCAGGCTTTCTCGAGTTGCGCCTCGCCAATGCGTTCGTTGCTGAAGTACGACCAGGCAGGTTCGAACAGAGTTCTGTTGGACTTGATCCAGCTAGCCAAGTGGTACACCTGTCCGCCAAGGCAAGGAAGGATGGTCTCGACCGTGTCCTTCTGCAATCCCAATTTTCCAAGGACCGCAGACTCGATACGGTCGTAGTCACGGAGGAGTGGGCCATGTACCTGTGCGTTCGATGCAGAAGTCGGCTGGATACGCTGGCTGATACCGCGGAGCGTGTTTCCTTGCAAGATGTCGGCGACGCCAGCCTTCAATCCCTTCGAGCGACAGATCGAGGCAATGCGAATGGCAGAAAGAGAGTCCAGGCCAATGTTGAAGATGCTCGTGTCGGGCGCGATATTGTCAGCAGAAACACCAGCAACCTCAGCAAGGATTTCTTGAACAAGGCCCTCATGAGTAGGGACGCTGGACGTCTCACGCTGTTCAACCTCAGGGCTCTTCACCTCCTCCAAGGAAAGTCGGAGTGGCAATTCTCCCAGTCCATCAGGGATAACAGTAGCGCATCGGGCAGGATGTTCAATAATGTCCTGGAACACAGAGCTGAAAAGCTCAAGGGCTTCGTCGAGCTTGGATTGTGACAGATACTCGCCATTGCATGTAGCTCTGGCCACAATTCCATCCTGGGCGTGGTCGATCTCGATGTTGATCTTGTGTTCGGCTTGCGCGGCGTAGTCGTCGGCATTGTAGGGCGTCCAGATTTGCTGTCCGTCAAGCACAGAAGTGTCAATGTCGGCGCTCTTCTGGAAAACGAAAAGAGTGTCGAAAAGCGAAGCAGATTTCAGGCCGTCGATCTGTCTCAGGCGGTTCTGAACATTTCTCAGAGGAGCGTGCTGGTAAACTTGAGAGTCAGTGGTTAGTTGTTGCACACGACGAGCCATAGCCTTGTTGCTCAAGAACTTGGGCTCGAAAGTGACTCGCTGAGCGACAGTGTTGAACAGAGGACCAATCGTCTTTTCTGCTCCGGGTGTTGGCAGGGAACGACCGGCGAGGACCTGTCCAAAGACAATGTCTCGCTTGCCGAGAAGGTTTGTCAAAACCTTGGAGTATGCCAAAAGCGACACGCTTTGGACGGTAACTTCCATCGCTTTACAGGCTTCGACGATGTTGGCGATGTCAAGACCAACGCGAAGTTCAGACATGAACATCTGGGCTTGCGATTCGGAGGATGGAAGGCGAGGAAGCTCGGTGACTTCGTAGCCAAGGAGTTTCTGGGTCCAGAATTTGGTCGCCTGTTCCTGGCCGTTGAGCACAAAGTTGACGGTGTCGGAGAATTGCGGTCGCTCGGAAATGATGTCCTCTTGGTAAGCTCTTGCAAGATCCTCGAAGACGAATGGCAGCGAAGCACCGTCGTAGAGCGAATGATGCATAACAATCACCAGAAGCTTGTCGGTAGGGCGAGTGACCAAAACAGATCGAATCGGAGGCACTGCGAAGGAAGTCTCCTTGTCAAAGCGGAACATCGAGGAGATCTCGGACAAGGGGTCGACAGTGGAGGGAAGAGTGATCTCGTGCCAGTTCAGAGCCGGGTTGGTGTGCACGGCTCCAACCCAGGCATAGCCGAGATCCTCAATAGAGTGGAAGGAAGTCCGAAGAATGTCGTTCGCTTGGATGATCCGGCTGATCGATTCCTTTAGTCGAGGAATGTCCACATCATCGGCAAGACGAACTGGGTGCGGATGAGTGTAGACAGCACCAGCAGAACCCAGGGTTCCGGTGATCATAGATGACTGCAAAGGAGTGCACGAGAACATGGCAGAAACCGAGTCGTTAGGCCCGAGAACAGGGACATGAGACTGGTAAATGTTGACGTCGACGGACGGAGCTGCAGAGCTGTCTTCCTCCTTCGCCTCTTGCGAGCAAAGCTGAGAAGTCAAGGCGCCCACGCAAGAGAAACGCATGACATCCGACGAGGAAGCGTTAAATCCGGCATCGCGTAGGTTGCGAGAGAATTGAATTGCAGTCACGGAATCGATACCAAGGGCCAAGAAAGAGGCGCCCTTGGAAACAGCGGACTTGTCGAGACCGCAGAAATTGGCAACCATTTCCTGGATCT